GAAAATTTGAAATTTATTCCACAATTTGTACTGTATTTTTAATGGTAAATACTGACAACCACAGCTACTGTTTTTTTACCCAAAATTTTTTGGATTTCTTTGTGTACAGTAAAACTGTAACCTGGTTAATAGTAATATATACGGTAAATAACGGTAAATTCGCTTTTCCAGAATTTCCTGCATGACACTTCATTTTTGACATGGTTTTTTTGTTGACTACTTTTTTTTCCATTTAATGTAATTTTTATATTTTACATTATTTGTTACTGCTTGACCAGGACAGTACTGCACAAGAGATTTGAATCTCAATGAGTGTTTTAAATCTGATGAAATAAAAAATAAACTAAAATGAGAATGAGACGCTACCTGCACTGTCTTTCCTCGGCTCTCCTGGAGGACATCTTGTGTGTTTCTTGGCAATCTGATAGATGCGAACGTAAACCAGGATCATGATGAGGCATGGGGCGAAGAATGACCCAATGGTGGAGTACAGAATATACCATTTGTCCTCATTGAGTTCGCATGTTGTTCGCGGGTCACCCTTCGCTTGCTGGGGTTTATCCATGGAGACCAATGGCGGGAAGGAGATGATGGCAGAAATAAGCCATACAACAACAATGGCGCCTTTAATTTTTCGAGGAGTGCGCTGGGTGCCATACTGCACAGGTCGGGATATAGACAGGTAGCGGTCCAGGCTGATGGCGCACAGGTGAATGATGGAGGATGTGCAAAAAAGCACATCTAATGCCAGGATGATCTCGCACCACAATGACTCGAAGTACCAGCAACCCATTAATTCTTTAGCCAGGGAGAACGGGATGACTAAAGTGGCCACCAAAATGTCAGCCGCTGCCAGAGACACCAAGAAAAGATTTTGAGGTCCTCGCAAAGAGCGGCAGGTGAGGACTGCGATGATCACCATGATGTTCCCGAAGATGGTGAAGAGCATGATGAGAGTCATTGTGATGGCAAACACCGCGGTTATTTCAGGGGAATACCGGGACGAGCTGGAATTGCAACTGGAATAATTCATATTTAAGTTCCAGGTGTAAAGTCCTTGATGTATGCGTATTTCCTAGCGTAATCCTTGCAAAGACATTTGGTCGATTAGAAAACTGTGAAAAGTGAGTTGATTACGACGAGTTTTAGAAGGAAAAACTGACATCCTCCTTTAGCAAACCTCGAGAAGAAGAAAAATTACAAATTAATATTTTGTATTTGTATTAAAACTAATCATGCAGTCGATAAATAACTAAATAAATAAACATATGTCCTTTCACACAGTGTGAAGGTAATATTGTTAAGTAAAACGGCCGTTTAACTAGCTAGCCAACTACAACAAACGGTCGTTTGTAATACGAATAATTAATAATAATAAATGAAGCTTGAACTTACCACAGCATAAGATGACCAGCTTTTGACCACTATAAGTCACTCGAGGGGCACAGAGATCCTCGTTTATAAGTTTTGATCCAATTCTTGTCCAAAAAATGAAGCTGAGGGAAAAAAAAGCGCGCGGGGAAATGCGCGCGAACACCAGCGCGCCAAAACAACTCACAATTTCATGTATAATAAAAGCTAGGGAGCAACATTCGGATGAAAAACTAAATTCAGAGATGGTAGTTTCGTGTGTTTATGCGTGTCCGATGAGGTGAAGTTGTTAAAATGCGCACCATCCAATCCGTTCCTCAAATAAGAAACATTATAGACTACTGACAAATCATTTTTAATAAACCCATCCAAAACTTGAGGAGGAAAAGCTCCGTTTTCTTTTCAAGGAGTTCTCATTTCAGATCAACTTTCTCTAATGTAAACGGGGTAAAACCATCGTCCGTTCATTTCTCTCATTCCCCAGATTTGGACTCCAGCATCAGTCAGCGGACTGAGCGGACTCCAGTCTGAGCGCGTCTCTCTTGAGTTTCCCCTCATGACGTCACATAGACCCCTTTTGCCGTGACGTCACGCCAGAATCACTCCTCAGAACTAACATCCAAATAATCTTCCTAACTCAAATGATGTCTTCTGTAACTCAAGCATCGAATCAATTAATCATCTTTTGTCAAATGCCCACATGTTAATATGTTTTGGTCTGATTTATCCGTCTATTTTTCATCAAAATGTAAGTTTAACATGGATTTTTCCATGTGTGATATAATTTGTTACTTTTCTCATGACAATCATAACATAGAATATAAAGACAATTTATTTATTTTATAGGGTAAATATTATATTCACAAATGTAAATTTTCTTCATCATTACCTAAGCTGAAGAATTTTCTTTGTGACTTAAATTGTTTAATTACTACTTAACAAAATGTTTACAGCAACAAAAGTGTTAAACTGTGAAGTTTTATAAGGACTTTGTAAACATTGTTTAATTTGACTATTTGCCTCAGTACTCTGTTTTTTTATTTATTTATTTTATTACTAATTTTACTTATTTACTTTTGTACTTGATGTCATCCATTGTTATGATTAATATGTTTGTATTGTTAAAACACACACAAAAAAAAAACCATCCAAATAATCTATTTATTTTTTCTAGCAACATTTGTTTTATTTACACAAATGCAAATTGTCTGTAAAATCGATAACACCTATGTGAATCGTAAAGTATTGTCTCTTTTCTAACATCCAGCTGACTATATTGTGACCATGCTTTGAGAGAATTTTAAAATGTTGTATTTTGATTTATATTACGCCTGACCTTATTTTTGTTCCACTTTGTTATTTTATATATATATATATATATATATATATATATATATATATATATATATATAGAGTGCATCCTGAAAGTCTCGATAGCGCTTCACTTTTACATTTTATTATGTAACAGCCTTATTCCAAAATGAATTAAATTCATTATTTCTTCAACATTCTACACACAATACCCCATAATGACAACGTGAATAAAGATTTTTTTTAATTGTTGCAAATTTATTAAAAATAATAAAGTTGTAAAATCACATGTGCATCAGTATTCACAGGCTTTGTTCAATACTTTGTTGATGCACCTTTGGCAGCGATTACAGCCTCAAGTCTTGTTGAATATGATGCCACAAGCTTGGCACATCTGTCTTTGGGAGTTTTTGCTCATTCCTCTTTGCAGCACCTCTCATGTTCTATCAGGTCATATGGGAAATAACGGTGTGCAGCCATTTTCAGATCGCTCCAGAGATGTTTAATAGGATTTAGTTCTGGGCTCTGGCTAGGCCACTCAAGGACATTTACAGAGTTGTTGCGAAGCCACTCCATTGATATTTTGCATCCCTTGATAATTTGTGTAGAACGTTGAGGAAATAAATTAATTTAATCCATTTTAAAATAAGGCTTTAAAAAAAATGTGGAAAAATGAAGCGCTAGGAATACTTTTCAGATGCACTGTATATAAACATTTCTTGAACGTTCAAATAAAATAAAAAGAAAGAACTGGCATCCAAATTACAATATTTATTATGGAATTGTCACTGATGAACAAGTCTTTCTTCTGTAGTTTTTTATTTTATATTCAATTCCCTTGTTATTTTCATGCTATTTTTTCCTTATTTTGTTTATATGCGTCTTATAACCTTCAATCTTTGTATTTCCGTTACTTTAAGCATTATAAAAAAAAACAAAAAACGTCTACTTTTGTGTATATACACACACACACACACACATTTTAATTAATAAATATATATATATATATATATATATATATATATATATATATATATATATATATATATATATATATATATATATATATATATAAAAAACTAACAACCACTTGTATACTATTTATACTATAATTTGTGTCACACTGATTATATTAAAAGATGCTAGAAAAGCTAAATGCATGTAAGAATGAAGAAATATCAGGCTTCCAGTTTGACAAACCCAAAGCTAGAAAACTCGATTGCAAAGAGTTTAAATAAATTAAACAATTTGATTGGAAGGGAAAGTTAATCCTAAAAAAACATCATCAGTCTATATGAACACACTAACGCTTTACTTGTTCTATATGACTTACTTCTGTTGAAGATATTTTGAAGAAAGCAGAAAACCTCTTCAACAGAATAAAAAAAAACTCATTCAGAACTAAAATTGTAAATAGTGAGAAGAAAACTTTCATTTTAGAGTGGAATGTCTCCAAGGAGCAGTCAGATATTCAGATTGTTCACATTTAAAAGGCAGAGAGAGGGTTGTGCTTATTGACTTTGTGTGTCTACACGAATGTGCAGGAACTTTCTTCCCCCCAAATTTGAACTTTACAGCATTAAATAAATAAATAAATAAATAAATAAATATAGCGCAAAAGTTCAGCAGTTCTAGTTCAAAAGTTCAAGTTGTGCTCCCAGCAATTCTGTTTAAATAGACATCTAACAGACCTCCAATTACACAAGACTAGAACAAGGCTAAATTTGTCAGTGAATGTCTGAAACAGATAAGTAGACTAAATTTAGCCTCGCTTTAGACACAACGTCTATGTTTGGATGTTTATTAGACGTCTTTAAACAACAACAAACATGCAAGGTCGATTTAAGGAGTAATTAAATGAGCAGAATACAGCGTATGAAGCCCACAACAGTCATTTGAGACTGATGAATGCCACTGAAAACTCTTTAGGCTTTTTTAAATTACTTAATTGAGCACAACCTACAATTATACAACTATAAAAATACGCAACACTCATTCCTTTCACAAAACACAAGCTAAAATATTATATCAGATGATTGTAGAGATTGCGATGAGCACATACTGTATGGGGAAGTAATTAACACTCAAATCTGCCAAAGAAAAACACCTTAAATCAAGTGAAATATACATAGTTGTGTCTAATTTCTCATTTTCTTCTAGATTTTTCAGCAGCAAGATGAAGATGCAAAGCCATACAATGAGGTGTGCAGTGACTGCCCCCTACTGGACAAACACCAGAACTGGAGCACTTCTAAATGAATCCAGTTAAACCAGAGAGCATTTTTACTGACATACTCACAATTATAGGCCACATGTTGTTGTTTTTTTTTTTTTTACATTTATTTGTCCATAAAATTAGCTTCGTATGTGCTTAAGTGTCCATTCAAACAGAGCAGTTTTGAGGTTGGAGGAATGGTGGGGTTACTTTATCCTGATGTTTTCAGTCGTCTGAAATGGAGAAAGTGGATGAATTCAGAAAGAGTGGTTAAAACACTCTGAAGATGTCACTCAAAAAATGGCAAGGCAAAAAATTAATTATAATAAATAAACAAAAACTGCATAACATTGGATCAGGGCTGCATGAGATCTGGGGAAATTTAATTTTTTTTCTGCAATACATAGTGCAAGATAGAATAATTTCAGCCGATGATGTGAACACTGTTGCTCCATTTGGAAAGAATTCATAATTTTGCTTTTCATTAGGATGTTTTTTAAAAGAATTAATCTGCATACAATATAATAAACCACACCAATATTGATAAAACATTAAGCTTTTTTAAAGCATATTGATAAAACATTAACCTTCTAGCAGTATTCAGGTACACAAAATTGAATAATCAAGAATAATCTAAAATTATCTAAAATAACACGATTGTCTTCATATGTATTTACTGTAGGTGGGCATAGATTAATTTTTTTAATCTAGATTGATCTCGGAATTAATCTAGATTAAAATAGCTCATTTGAATTCTGCCGAAGGCATTCAAAATATGTTTGCTACCCCAATAGTAAATAAGTAAATAGTAAGTGGGTTTCTCAAGCCAGGTGGCACATTAGACCAGGGGCTTATCTCCCGTTTCCAAAACGCATCACAGACTGCTTGAGAAACTGTTCTACTGTGATAATTTGTAATGAAAATAAATGATGTTCCATGACGCCAAATTCTGACCCGACCATCCGAATGTGGCAGCAGAAATGGAGACTCAGAGCAGGCAACATTTCTCCAATCTTCTATTGTCCAGTTTTGGTGAGCCTGTGTGAATTGTAGCCTCAGTTTCCTGTTCTTAGCTGACAGGAGCGGCACCCGGTGTGCTCTTCTGCTGCTGTAGCCCATCTGCCTCAAGGTTGGACGTGTTGTGTGTTCAGAGATGCTCTTCTGCAGACCTCGGTTGTAACGAGTGCTTATTTGAGTTACTGTTGTCTTTCTATCAGCTGGAACCAGTCTGGCCATTCTCCTCTGACCTCTGGCATCAACAAGGCATTTGCGCCCACAGAACTGCCGCTCACTGGATATTTCCTCTTTTTCAGAGCATTCTCTGTAAACCCTAGAGATGGTTCCCTAAAATCCCAGTAGATCAGCAGTTTCTGAAATACTCAGAGCAGCCCGTCTGACACCAACAACTGTGCCACGTTCAAAGTATCTTAAATCTCCTTTCTTCCAGATTCTGATGATCAGCTTGAACTGCAGTAGATCGTCTTGACCATGTCTACATGCCTAAATGCATTGAGCTACTGCCATGTGATTGGCTGATTAGAAATATGCATTAACCAGCAGTTGGACAAGTGTACCTAATAAAGTGGCCGGTGAATGTATACAGTATGTGTGTATATAGTATTTATACAGTGAGATACACAGACATGCATTAAAAATAAAAATAAAATAAAAAATACGCAACACTTTTGTTACACATTTAATTTTCTATATCTTTGTAACATATACCTGTTATATTTTTGTATATTGTAGAATGGACACGACTAGTTAAAACCTGAATAACTTAAATGGCTCATTCATTTATTTGTTTTCCTTCAGCTCAGTCCCTTATTTATCAGGGGGCGCCACAATGAAATGAACCGCCAGCACGTTTTACCTAGCGGATGTCCTTTCAGCTGCAACCCAGCACTGGGAAACACCCATACACTTTCATTCACTCATACACTACAGCCAATTTAGTTGTGTTTAGACTGTGGGGGAAACCAGAGCAGGCGAAGGAAACCCACATCAACATGGGGAGAACATGCAAACTCCACAGAAATGCCAACTGACTGAGCCTAGACTTGAACAAGCGACCTTCTTGCTGTGAGGTGACAGTGCTAACCACTGAGCCAAAGTGCCACCGCTGATTGACTTAAAAAAACAAAGTAACAAGCAACCTAAAAATGTGTCACAAAATTTTTTACAGTCTGAAAATGAGCCGGACGTACCACAGTGATACAGCCTGCGGAGCCGTTCCACATCCAGGACGCTCATGTGAGTCCTCTGGCCGATCTTAACGCCTTTCTTCTTGGGGATTATCGTGTGATTTCCATTACGAGAAAAACAGTCGCTGGAAAAACAAAACCCCACATCATCGATGCCTTCAAATCACACACGCAGACAGAATTTCGAGCCATTTTTGGAAAATCGAGCACCTACTCTCCATAATGCAAGATTGAGTCCAGGTCATACTCCAGACCAAGCGTGTTCCCTTTCTTCACCTTAAAATTGGACTCTTTACCTGTTTACATAAAAACAGGTCAACAAAGCTGATGCATCTACGCTGGGAATTTTTACTTTGCTGCCTTAAAATTTTTAAAGGGCTCCTATTTTACCCCTTTGCAAGATTTAAAATAAGTCTTTTGTGTCTCTAGAAAGTGTTTATACAGTTTCAGCTCAAAACACCCATCAGATTATTTATTATAGCTTTTAGAATAGGGCTGTGCGATTAATCGAAATCGAATCGCAATTTGAACCGTTGCGATTAGCTAAAAATCGTGTGATATTAAATCTATATGCATTATTTAATTTTGCTTGCCCAGAGCAAATGCGTCACTGCTATCTGTGTGACAGTCTTATTAGCCAATTGAGTAGGCAAAATAAATAAATAACTAAATTTAAAAAAAGTTAAAAAAAAAAAAAAAAAAAAAACATACAGGAAAGCGTGAACAAATGGGATGATGGCTTCTGCTGCTTCAGAAGCATTAATAGACAAATTAATATCAAGGAAAAACGGCATCGGTAATATGGGAATTGTAGCGGCGTTCTATTGCCGTTATTGTTGGTAGAGCAAGCAAGTTTTGTACGCGTAAAGTCAGAGTACGTAGGCAAAATAGATGCAAATAAAAACGTCTTTATTTTACAATCAACAGAATTACTACATCACTTTTCCTTAATCTATATACACTTCTCTGTAATCTTAAATTGTATGTTGAGTTGATCTACGTTCAAATACTGTGTGCTTCTTACCAACGTTCTCCTACCCCATGCAGTGAAGCCACAGTTATATAGTCTCCTACTGACACCTTGTGGCCAATCGCCAATATACAATTTATGGCTCTTACGGGAATACTTTGGTTTCACAGACAGCAAACAAAAACTGGTAATTTTTTAAGAGCTGTCACAAATAAAAATTTATCACAATCAAAATATCTGTCAGAAAAAATCTCAATTAGATATTTTCCCAACTCGCACAGCCCTATTTCAGTATATCGGATTTTATTTTTTGAACACACTGGAGCTGTTTTTGTTGCCTTTGCCTTTAATGATGGTTCTCTAATAGTGCATCACTATTTTTGTTAAATAAATGTTTGTATCTGAACTGGGTTCCAGAGGCAGTTTATAAACTTGCTATATATATATATATAGCATAGGCGGTAGGGCTGCACGATATTTAAAAAAATGTACATTGCGAAATTTATATATACATATATATACATATATATACATATATATATATATATATATATATATATATATATATATATATACACACATATATATATATACATATATATATATATATATATATATATACACACATATATATATATACATATATATATATATATAAATATATAAATAAATAAATAAATATATATATATATATATATATATATATATATATATATATATAAAAATTTCGCAATGTAAATTTTTTTAAATATCGTGCAGCCCTACCGCCCACCATTCCCACATGCCTGTCAGAAGCTGCGTCCCAAATGGCACACTATACACTATGCATTCGTGCACTATGCACTTACACAATCAACAGGATAGTATAAGTAGTGTTGTCCCAAATGGCACACTGTTTTTTTACTAAGCGGAAATTCAAACCGTTTCCCTGATGACGTTTGACGGTTGCCAAATCAGTGAAATAAACGACCGAATTATCAAATAATACCTGCCGTGAGTATTGCCGCATTTAACATCGGGAGGCGCTATAATCACTCTCGTAGGAGAATTTTGCTTTCACAATCCAAAATAAATAAAGTTATTCAACATGTGCGTCCGATAGCTCCGCCCCTTCCGCTACGCAAGCAAACCTGCGGTGGTTGAGTGCGTGAAGTGTCCATCATTACACACTTCATTTTAGCGGCTGAATGAGTGCATCATCCGGGTAATTAAAGTGCACTTATTATTATTAGAGTTTTCAGTGTGAACAATTACTTACACTATTTATACTACAAAATGGCGTAGAATAGTGCATAAGTATGCGATTTGAAACGCAGCTAGAGTGTGCCTCAATCTCCACCTCGGCTGCATCAGATAAACAGCACAGTGACAGACATGGAGGACACAGATCTCACGTAACGTTTTTGAGAAATACTACAGTAAGAACTTTCCCAATGATTATTTTATGCATTAGTTGGGGAGTTAATTCAAGCACAATGTAGTTACAAAGCACACACACACACACACATCGCGTTCGTGTTTAACTTTGCACCGTTTTTGCACGGCAAATGTGATGGCATGCGCATTAATATTCACTGTTGTATGAACATCTGTTTTGTTAATGTACAGTATCAGTGTCAGTATTCATCTGATTGGTGCAAACATACAGAGCTAAAGCGATACCAGCAGTGTTCAATCAAATTAGTTTATAATAAACCACACTTGTAATGAAATGAAACTGCTGCATACCAGGCATGATGTTATCGTAGAGTATGGTGATGTATTTGTCGCGGTCAGGACGCGAGTGCTCGTGGTACAGGCCGAGCGAATGCAGGATTTCGTGACAGATGTTCCCAGCGTTACACTTTGGCCCGACCAGAATTGGCTGCTCACCGCCGGCACAGCCTACAAGAGACGCACACCTGCAGGACACAATTATCCCATCTGTTTTACACTGGAAAATACCAAAATCAATAAATTTACCTTGAAAAAAAGAGAACTCAGGAGCTTCTATTCAAATGTGATCAAAAAGTACAGCTTCCAAACAAAATGTGCACTCGTCACAGCTATAATGAGCACAAATAATTGCAAATGAAAATGGCCATGAGGACAAGCAAAGGTTAAAAGTGGTCATGAATGTTTGCGATGCTGCAAACATGCTACACAAACACCTATACAAAAAATGATATAAAGTTATAAATATAAGTTTATCTACTAGTTAAATTTCCAAATTCTTGCATGTGAGATTAAAATACATTTACTTCAATGCAGTGTTTCCCAACCACGTACCTGAAGGAGCCCCAGCTAGGCACATCACTTTAACCAAACACCTGATTCAGACCATCAGCTCATTAGCAGAGACTGAAAGAGCTGTAATAGGTGTTACAGACAAAGGAGACATCCAATACATACAGTGCTGGTGTTTCTCCAGGAATGTGGTTGAGAAACACTGCTTTAATGAATGTAAATAAAAGGCACAACATGTAATTTTTTTTAAAAATAAAAATTTCCAAAAACCACTAGAACAGAGTCATATATTGTGATGACTTATGTTACATAATCCCAAATGTTTAGAAGAATTTTCAACGAACGAAGCAATTTTAACTGTGTATGTGCTAATAGCATCACACACTCATCATCAACATGATTCTACAGGGGCCTGTTTCAGTAAGGAGGTTCAAACAACTCGGAGTTGAAACTTGAACTCTGAATTGATTTACCGAGAGATTAAAAACTCTGAGTTTTCGGTTTCAGAATAGCTGATCTGAGTTGGGTCAATCAACTTTGAGTAGACCAACTCAGAGTTAAGCGCGCGCACCATGACTATAAAAAGGCATTATCAATGGAGCGCAGACATTACGAGTGACCATGGCAACATCTTAAAAAAAAACAGATCAGCATTTCTTTCTCCGGCTGAACTTGATGTGCTCATGCAAAGTTATAGCAAATATGAGCGTATATATTTAAAGAGAAGCAACCATCAGTGAAACAGAGACAGCATGGGAAAACAGCTGCTCAAGTTAATGCGTAATGTTTAATTTAAAGTATTTAAAAATTTAAGTATAATAAAATAAGTAATGAAATGTGTGACGTTTATACTTTTTTCTAAACTTTTAAGCACGTTTATCAGTTTTAATAGATTTAACAGTGCACTTGTGTGTCTGCCTTTTTACTGATCAAGTAATAGAGGTTGATATAACATTAAGAACGTAAGCAGTGCTTACGATTAATCCCATTAATCTAGTAACAGTACATGTCGAAGGTTAAGCTAAATATTTATGGAAAAAAGGACAAGCCTCGTACGTGACTTCGTTCCGTGTGTGACAAAAATGTAGGCAATAGCTGTTTCCATCAAAATATAGGCTATTACATAAATATGTGCAAAACTGGTATAACGCCTAAAAGTCGTGAATAAAGCAGCGTTTTTATCCAACGAGTCAAAGAGAACACAATGGTCACTTCCTGATTAACTTGCGCCAAATATAACAGTAAAAACAGAATTTACTGCGGTAGAACAAGCTGCGTCAATAATTTTTTTATTTAATACTTGCGCCTCAGAAGACAATTGACACACAATGAACACATGGGGGCGTTTGAAGCCAGACGCGGAGATCTTGACACGCTCCAGACGCTCGGAGGTAATTAATAATATACACTAATACTGAAACAGTAAAGGCATTTTAGAATGACTAAAACAACATTTAAGATGTTCTGCAGTGTGCTCAGTCTGCTGGTTTGTCCATTCACACACATTTTCATCATCATCTCTAACAAACCATTTTTTAATGTACATACTGTAATTTGTTAAGTGCACTTTATGCACATCTTTACTTATCAAATAATAGTTTAACCTACTCAGTTATGCAAATGTTTTATTATGCATATTTTCAAAAGTTATGTGAATCATGACGTTTCCATCAATCGTTTTTATGGGCATCTCCAAAATGAGCTCTAAAAGGTGTGTGGAAATGTAAGCTAATGCGAGAAATACGCTTCATCTTTAAAAAAAGGGGAGGACACCGACAGAAACTCAGAGTTTAGAGAATAAAACCTGCTCCGGACCAGGTTAGATTCACAGAGTAAGTTACCACAGTAACTGACTCTGAGTTAAAGTTACCTTTCTTTTAGAAACAGGCTTGACTTACCCTGATTTCTTGAGTTTAACAAACCTGCCTTTTTGAAATGGAAAACCCAGAGTTTCTCTCATTTCAGGGTTAAAATACTCTGAGTTTTCACTTAACCTCCTTTCTGAAACAGGCCCCAGGTTTCCTGTAGGACGGTAAAGACCACAACTCCCAGGATTCCCCAACAAGTCACACAATCTACATTTGTTTGTGGTGAATAAGCACCCTCTAGTGCCGAAAATAGCATATAGTGCCTTTATTCACATTCATTAAAGAAATGTTTCTCATCCATGTACCTGGAGGACCACCAACAATACAATCCTTTTTTTCCACGTCTCTAACCAAACACACCTGATTCAGATCATTAGCAGAAACTGAAAGAGCTGTAATGGGTTTAACGGACAAAGAAGATAATCCAAAACATGCAGTGTTGGTGCTCCTCCGGGAATGTGGTTGAGAAACACTGCTTCAATTAATGCAAATAAAAGCACAATATGTAACGTTTTTAATAAAATTTTCCAAAAACCAGTGTCATTTATTGTGATGACTTATGAACTTATCCCAAACATTTAGACGAATGTTCAAATCTAGAGACATAAGAAATTAACAAATTAACAGTGTGTACATGCTAATAGCATCACACACTCATCATCAACATGATTCTACAGGAGTCCTGTAGGATGGTGAAGACCACAACTCCCAGGATTCCCCAACAAGTCACACAGTCATCAAACTACATTTGTTTGTTGTGAATATGCGCCTCCACTGGTGAAAATTAAATAGTGCGCCTTTATTCATATTCATTAAAGGAATGCTTCTCAACCATGTACCTGGAGAACCACCAGCTCTGCACATTTTTTAATGACTCCTTAACCAAACACGCATGATTCAGATCATTAGCTCTTTAGCAGAGACTAAAAGAGCTGTAATGGGTGTGACAGAAAGGAGACATCCAAAACATGTAGTGTTGGTGCTCCTCCAGGAACGTGGTTGAGAAACACTGCTTTAGTGATTGTGAATAAAGGCACAATATTAAACTTTTTTTTTAAACAAAATTTTCCCAAAAACCACTAGAACAGTAACCAGTTAACAGTAATCATTGCTTCAATGAAGCAATTATAAATAGTTAACAGTGTCTATGTGCTAATAGCATCACACACTCATCATCAACATGATTTCTACAGGAGTCCTGTAGGATGGTGAAGACCACAACTTCAATGATTCCACAACAAGTCACACAGTCATCAAACTTCACATTTGTTTGTTGTGAATATGCGCCCTCTAGTGGTGAAAATAGCTTATTGTGCCTTTATTCATATTCATTAAAGCAATGCTTCTCAACCATGTACCTAGAGGAGTGCCAGCTCTGCACATTTTCCATGTTTCCTTAACCAAACACACCAGATTCAGATCATCAGGTCATTAGCAGAGCCTACTAGAGCTGTATTGGGTGTGACAGACAGAGGAGACATCAAAACATGCAGTGGTGGTGCTCCTCCAGGAACGTGGTTGAGAAACACTGCTTCAATGATTGTGAATAAAGGTGCAATATGTAACGTTTTTTGAATAAAATTTTCCAAAAACCACTAGAACAGGGTCATATATTGTGATGACTTATGAACTTATATTATCCCAAATGTTAAGAAGAATGTTCAACAAATTAAGCAATTTTAACTAGTTAACAGAGTCTACGTGCTAAAAGCATCACACACTCATCATCAACATGATTTCTACAAGAGTCCTGTAGGATGGAAAAAGACCACAACTCCCAGGATTCCCCAACAAGTCACACAGTCATCAAACTACATTTGTTTGTAGTGAATATGCGCCCTCTAGTGGTGAAAATCACATATTGTGCCTTTAACTTGAGAAATTGTGAACTTGCCTTTTTATTTTGTGTAAATATAATAGAAATGTAAGTTTATTACCAAAAACACCAAAATTATAGCCTTCTATGCAACAAAAAAAAGCAAAGTCACATGCTGTAAATAAACCGTAAAACTTCAGACTCACATACGGTCAGGCTTAAAATGCAGATAATCTTCCTCAGTTGTATGGTGATGAAACTTGACGCAGGTCTTCTTGGAGACCATTTTTAAGGCTGCTAAAATGTGCCCAGTCTTGTCTTCTGAAAGCCATAAACCACAGAAACAAAGATTAATCCATTGATTAGTTGTTTTCTTTTCATCCTAACTGTGCGCACTATCATAGGACAGCATAGGGTAAACTCACCGAGACCAGAGGCAATACTGTACGGCACTGAAACTTCTCCATCCTTCTCAGGCCACAGATGATTCCCTGCGTTCCTGTCGGTCTAAACAAAACACTGAGCTCAGGCATTATCAGGCATAATGACACTAATATGCCCATTTGACCATTTTAAAGATTAATTCCATTTTGATTCTATTTGATTTTTATTTTTTCATGTAATAAATAAATGTATAAAAATTTCAACTGTTTGCATGCTTCGAGTAATAGTTACGATGAAACGACACTTCTGATGTCTCACAATTAAATAAAGTTCAATTTAAATCACAACTTTTAAGGTCATCTTTGAATGACAATTTCATAGTTAGGAGGATGCATCTGGACATGTCTTACAGATTAAGTGAACGAATCCCCTAGTAAGCTTTTAAAAAGCGTATTAAGACACCTTTTTAAAATGGCGTACAAATATAATAGCATGTGAGGTATGTGTATTTTATGCATGTATACGGTGTAAATGTTTCGATACATGCATGTACAGTACATATACACAACCGGCCACTTTATTAGGTACACCTTACTAGTACCATGTTGGACCACTTTTGGCTTCAGAACTGCCTTAATCCTTCGTGGCGTAGATTCAACAAGCTACTGGAAATATTCCTCAGAGATTTTGCTTCATATTGACATGATAGCATCACAGTTGCTGCAGAATTGTCTCCTGTTTCACCACATCCTAAAGGTGCTCTGTTGGATTGAGATCTGGTGACTGTGGAGGCCATTTGAGTACAGTGAACTCATTGTCATGTTCAAGAAACCAGTCTGAGATGATTCACGTTTTATGATATGGTGCGTTATCCTGCTGGAAGTAGCCATCAGAAGATGGAGACACTGTGCTCATAAAAGGATGGATATTGTCTCTGGGTTTTGGGTGTGTGTTTGAACAAATATATACACATAATTAATAATAATAACATCCTAAGATGTCGATCTTGGTGTGTTTTTATCAAACACAACTAATTTTGTCCTAAAATTTTGAGCCTAAAATTTATATATATATATATATATATATATATATATATATATATATATATATAGTCGAAATCAGAATTATATGCCCCCAAATGATATAAATATTTCCCAAATGATGTTTAACAGAGCAAGGAAATGTTCACAGTATGTCTGATGATATTTTTTCTTCTGGAGAAAGCCTTATTTGTTTTATTTCAGCGAGAATAAAAGCAGCTTTGAATTATTTTATAACCATTTTAAGGTCAAAATTATTAGCCCTTTTAAGCTATATATTTTTCAGTAGTCTACAGAACAAACTATCTTTATACAATATCTTGTCTAATTACCCTAACCTAATTAACCTAGTTAAGCCTTTAAATGTCACTTTAAGCTGTATAGAAGTGTCTTGAAGAATATCAAGTCAAATATTATTTACGGTCATCATGACAAGGATAAAATAAATCAGTTATTAGAGATGAGTTATAAAAAAATATTATGTTTAGAAATGTGTATTATGTTTAAAAAAAATCTTCTCTCCGTTAAACAGAAACTGGGGAAAAAATAAACAGGGAATAATTCAGAGGGGCTAATAATTCTGAATTACACTGTATATATTCATCACAATGTAAATTATTTTTGTTTTTAGAATATTTATTAGTGATGCATGCAATGATTACAGAATAACCAAAATAAATGCAAAGAATGGCAATTCTGGACTTTTAAAATCACTTTCAACAATAGCAAAAAGAGACTGAAAGGGCAGAAGCAGAGCTTCATCTGGCAGAGGAACAACTGACTCTAACCAAACTGCAGCAAACCAAGGCCAGACTTGAGATCTGCCTCCTAAAGGCTAAACTCAGACTAGCTGCTCTCTCCACATCAGATGAGGAAGTTTGAACTTATTGTGGAGGTTTTGACATCAAGTCTTTTTTTAATTCAATAAATCTATATTTATAACGCGTTTTAAATATCCTCAATATACAGTGTTGTAGGTCTCAGATGAGCAGACTGCTGGAAGAGGATGAGCTGTTTTTTTTCTTCTTTTTTTTAAATGTGTGTTTTCATTTCAAATAAAAATAAAAGTTATATTGACTCCAAACTTGATATTCTACTTGTTGCTCTTTACATATTGTTTTCCTATCCTGTTTGAGCACTGGTTATCCAGATTTAGTGATCCTGAAAAGTTCCTATCTGGATCAGATTGATCCAATACAATGTTGCTTTTAAAAAATTAGTAAGCTGGATTACGTGATCACAGATGTAACAATCTACTGTAGATTATAATTTTAACATCTGGGCCCGGTTTTTCAAAAGATTTAATCCGGATAAAATTGATCTGGATTTAGTAATCCTGTTTTTGCAATCTGTGATCACGTAATCCAGCTTACTTTTTAAGCCAGTTTTTCAAAGCAACATTGGATTGGATCAATCTGATCCGGATAGGAACTTTTCAGGATCACTAAATCTGGATTACCAGTGCTCAATCACAATGTAGATGGATATATAGGCCTATGTAAAGAGCAACAAGTAGAGTATTTTTATTTAAAATGAAAACACACACATTTAAAATAAATAAATAAATAAATAAATAAACTAAAAACAATAAAAACCCCACCCCATCCTCTTCCAGCAGTCCGCTCATCTGAGACCTACAACACAAACACTGTACATTGAGGTATTTATAATAAGATTCAAATATAGATGTAAATAATAATAAAAAAGAGACACTTAATGTCAAAAATTCCACAATAAGTTCAGACTTCATCATCTGATGTGGAGAGAGCAGCTTGTCTCAAGTCTGGCCTTGGTTTGCTGCAGTTTGGTCAGAGTGAGTTGTTCCTCTGCCAGATGAAGCTGAACTTCTGCCCAGTCTCTTTTGCAATTGTTGAAGGTGATTTCAAAAATCAGGCATTGCCATTCTTTGCATTTATTTTAATTCTGTAAACATTGCATGCATCACTAATAAATATTCTAAACACAAAAATACTTTACATTGTGATGAATATATATATATATATATATATACACATATATATATATATATACACATATATATATATATTCATAAATCCACCCTTCTGATGGAATCAGTTTAATCCAGGTATTTTGGATCAAAGTGATCCAGATCCTACAAAATCAAAACCAAGATTAGATTACGTAATCTAATCCGATTAGGTAATGCGTTTTTTTTCTTTTGAAAAAAACATTTTCAAGATTTGATCCAATCCCTTATCCAAAATCCTAGTGGATTACTTTTGAAAAACCAGGCCCAGGTGTATAAAGTGAAATAAACAAATAAATCAATAAATTATAAAAAAAAATAAAATGTATAAATAATAATAATAGTATTTAACAACAAGATAAATAATAAACAAATACAGCATAAAATAAACTCCTAAAATGCTTTCTTACCCCTAATCTACTCTAAAAGGAGGAATATAAAGAAATCAAACAGAGCCTAAAATCTCAGAACTGACCCGTGCATGCAAATAACCCCCAGTGGTTTTGTGTGTAGTATCTTGACTCATGTGCAAACCAGCCCTAGTGCTCTGTATATACTGCAGAAACAGGAACAATATTACACACAAAAAAACACAATCTGAAAAAGGCATAATCTGAGCTCACTTGAGGTATGATATCCTCTTCCTCAAGGGCATAACCTTCGTCAGAATCTACTAAAAACATTAAACGCATCAGGTAAAGCTAGAATTGCTGACTTGTGTGTAAAAAAACAACGTGTTATCTTACCCAGAGGTGTTTCATTTTTAAGAGAATGTCTATGATAGCCTGTGGAGGAAATATTGTGTCATATAAATGAAGTTCAGCTCATTAAACAATACAAAACAATCAGTTTTACCTTCATCAAAGCGGACTTCAGAGGTGTTCTGTGTCTGCACAGGCCCTCCCTGAACTTATAAACACAAAAACGCCTTTATATTCATCTGAAAGCGGTCATTTCACTTGTAAAATACTGAACTTGTGACAACTTTGGAGTGAATATTGGAAAACTAGTGCACCTTCACAAAGCCAGGCAAACAGTAAAAGCAATCCTAGCATTTTAACCACTCGACTTGTGGAAAGACGGGGATTATTACACGAAGATGCTAGGAAAACGTGTCGTTTCCAACACGTCGTGGATTTATACATCATTTGTCCAGCTGAGGCTCTTGATTGACAATTAGTTTACCAAACACCCTTCCCTCGGAATAGCGGAACCAAACTGCGCAGGTTGTAATTTCGTTCCGGAGGATTTTGTTGGTAGGACACTAAAAACCATAACACGTGAGCGGTGTTTTGGTGTTGACAGCTGATTTCTGAACTCGTCTTCTACGGTGAGTGTACAACATATGCGTATTTAATTGAGTGTATATTTGTTACGAGATAAAGACGAAGATTTACACAAACTATTAAGGTTTATAGCGCTGCTTTATCTGACGATATTGGCTCTTGCGTTGTAAAAAAGGGGGAAGCTGTTGCTTAATATCTTTGTGTGGATGTCGTATTGGTAACGTTAATTTAACGTTACTGGAGTTTAAGGTCTCTCATATATATATATATATATATATATATATATATATATATATCTTTTTTAATCTCCGGCCACTATATGGCTTGTAGTTTTCCAATGTTACTAGCCACTCTGCATTTTCACTAGCAACAATTTTGTTGTTGGGAAAATATATTTTATATGCATCAATTTGACGTTGACATGCTAAAATTACTTGGTTTAAATTGTGTGTTATCTCCTCATGCCTCCTCATTCATTTCACTTTTTGTGTGTCGAGTATGAGCTTGCTCAATGAGCATGAGCAAATGGGTCATGGTTTCATAGTGTTATATTGCAATTGGTTTTTATTTTTACACGACTTTAAGAGCTTAAAATCAACGATTTACCAAATTTATCTCTATAACCACACTAAAAAATAATTATTTCTTAACCACAAATTTTTATTGTGTCAAAACAAGCAAAATATAGCTGTATACTATACTTTTTTTAACAAAACATTTCTTTAAAAAGAAAGAAAAGTAATTGATTTTTAAAAAAATATCTATTGTCATGTATCAAAAATATGCACTAATCTGTCGTGGCTAAAGATCTCTCGGATCACCAGTTAACTGCACATAAATGGAGAGTTCATCTCCCATTAAAGCAATGTTGTAAAAAAAATGAAATAATTAATCCATTTTAACAAAAATGAAAGCAGGTGAAACATACCGTGTGTGCTAATGAAAGAATGATCACATGCACACGGTTAACTTTAGGCTATTTAATAATCTGTTCAAAGTGAAAGCAACCGGTGCTGCTTACAAAAAGACACATTTTGAGCTCTTAAAAGCATCAGGACTGTGGGTGATTTTTTCAGAAGTGGATGATGGAGGGTGGATGGAGGATGGAGATGGCATCTCTTCAGGAGATCATAACCGGTGTATAATTGAGAAACCGTCCTATCTGGCAACACTGTGAATTAAATCTTTCCAAATAGAGCTATTCAAATCATCTGGTGAAATTATATTCATATCGCAATATATATTGCAACAAAACAAAATATAGCAGTGCCAGATTTTTCCAATATCGTGCAGCCCTGGTATGAGATTGCATGTCTCAGCTTGCATGTGAAAGTCTGCAGCCAGTACTATGTAGTCATTGCATAACAGCACTTTGAGAGTAAAAATTACACAATACATTTAAAGGCAACACTAAATTCCAAATCTAATCCAAATAAATGTAAAATCCAATCAGCTCGCAGTTGGAAAAAAAACAAGCCACGTCCACTGTTATCTCGTTTAATATTCCATTTCTCAAGGAACTGTCACAATATAAAAAATAAATAAAACGTGCACCGCTTCCGGTTCATGCAGACTTTAAAAGAACTCCCTCCGGGGAGAGAGTTGAGACATTGATCATGAATATTGTCTCTCATTCTCGCAGCATTCAGAATGACGCGGTGGGCTCGAGCGAATAATGTCCATAAACACAAAGCGGCGGACGCCACACCATGGAAGCAGCTGAAGGCCAACAGTAGCGCCGGGGCAGCAGGAACCAGCAGGGGTGGCCGAAACATCCAGCAGGGATCAGGTGTAAGAAAAAAACCCAACCCGAAAACTAAGCAGCACGACAATGAGGATGTGAACGGATTCATGGAGTATTTAAAGCAGACCGGACAGACCCTGCAGAAACACACACCAGTGGATCTGAGAGGAGAAGTGGAGACGGCGCTGAAGAAAGACGCACGGCGAGAGAACCGACGGATAAAGAGACAAAACACTAAGAAGAGTAACATGGTGCGCTCTTGTTGTGTGTATCGCCTCTTCTTGTTGAATGGCTGAATGTCTTCTCAATTGTTAGACTCTTTGGACATAAGCGTCTGCTAAATGAGTGTTAATATAAAAATCTCACTTCTCTCACACTTTCATCTAGATCTGCTTCAACTGCCGGAAGCCTGGGCATGGACTCGCCGACTGTCCGGAAGCAAACAATGATGAAGAAATGGGCAGAGGGATCTGTTATCGCTGCGGCTCTACTGAGCATGAGATCCAGAGATGTCGCGCCAAAGTGGATCCTGCCATGGGTATGAGCTGAATGAGGCTAAAACAGTAGAGCTCTAGGCTAGTTTATAACAGTATACGGCACTCTAGGCTAGTTTTTAAATGGCAGATGGCGCTCTAGGTTAGTTTATTACAGCAGACGGCACTCTAGGCTAGTTTTTAAATGACAGATGATGCTCTAGGCTAGTTTTTAAACAGCAGATGGCACTCTAGGATAGTTTCTAAATGTCAGAAGGCGCTCTAGGATAGTTTTTAAACGGCAGCAGGCGCTCTAGGATAGTTTCTAAATGGCAGAAGGCGCTCTAGGATAGTTTCTAAATGGCAGAAGGCGCTCTAGGATAGTTTCTAAATGGCAGAAGGCGCTCTAGGATAGTTTTAAAAACAGCTGATGGTGCTCTAGGCTAGTTTATAACAGCAGACGGTGCTCTAGGCTAGTTTTTAAACGGTAAGTGGCGCTCTAGGATTTCTTCTAAATGGCAGAAGGCGCTCTAGGCTAGTTTTTAAACAGCAGATGGCGCTCTAGGATAGTTTCTAAATGGCAGATGGCGCTTTAGGATAGTTTCTAAATGGCAGATGGCGCTCTAGGATAGTTTCTAAATGGCAGAAGGCGCTCTAGGATAGTTTCAAAATAGCAGAAGGCGCTCCAGGATAGTTTCTAAATGGCAGAAGGCGCTCTAGGATAGTTTTTAAACAGCTGATGGTGCACTAGGCTAGTTTATAACAGCAGACGGCGCTCTAGGCTAGGTTTTAAATGACAGATGACGCTCTAGGCTAGTTTTTAAACAGCAGACGGCCTTCTAGGATAGTTTCTAAATGGCAGAAGGCACTCTAGGCTAGTTTTTAAACAGCAGATGGCGTTCTAGGATAGTTTCTATATGGCAGAAGGCGTTCTAGGATAGTTTTTAAACGGCAGAAGGCGCTCTAGGATAGTTTTTAAACAGCTGATGGCGCTCTAGGCAAGTTTATAACAGCAGAGGGTGCTCTAGGCTAGTTTTTAAATGGCAGATGTGCTCTGGGCTAGTTTTTAAATGGCAGATGGCACTCTAGACTAGTTTCTAAATGGCAGAAGGCGCTCTTGGCTAGTTTTTAAACAGCAGATGGCGCTCTAGGATAGTTTCTAAATGGCAAATGGCTCTCTAGGATAGTTTTTAAACGGCAGAAGGTGCTCTAGGATAGTTTTTAAACAGTAGATGGTGCTCTAGGCTAGTTTTTAAACAGTAGAAGTCACTTTAAGTTAGTTGTTGGGAAATGCTGGCACACACAAAGTGCTAGTATTTATGAAACACTGTTACTAATGTAAAAAAAATTAAACTTGCTGTAATTGACCATGTGAAATTTTCCATTTTCTAGGTAATTACCCATACGCCAAGTGTTTCATTTGTGGTCAGACTGGTCATCTGTCCAAAGCCTGTCCTGATAACCCCAAGGGACTATATGCTGCAGGTGAGAGATCTACATTCAACCCAATCTACCCTTTATTTAGCCCTTTATATGATGACTGCATTTCTAATTATGTGTTGTACTTGTGCTTTGTTCCTGAAGGTGGCTGCTGTCGGGTTTGTGGCTCAGTGGAGCACTTTCAGAAAGACTGTCCTGAACACCAGAACTCAAGTGAGTCTCGCAGTCCTGCACTAGAATATCTGCTGCTTTTAAAAACATTCAATTTGATTTTTTTTCTTCCTTAAATGTATTTATCTATTATTTTATTTGATTCCTAAAAGGATCGTTCATCCAAAAATTAAAATACAATCACCATGATTTCAACCCTTTGAGTTTCTTTCATCTGATAAACACAAATATATATATATATATATATATATATATATATATATATATATATATATATATATATATATATATATATATATATATATATATATATATATATATTTTAAAGAAAGCTGGAACCACTGACTTCCTTAATCGAAACAACAAAAACTATGGAAGTTACATGTTTCCAGCATTTTTTAAAATAGCTTCTTTTGTAATCAACAGAATAAAAAAAAACTCAAAGGTTTAGAACAAGCAAAAGATGAATAAACGATAGCATTTTAATTTTTGGATGAACTGTCCCTTTAAGTCCTGCATTTAATTATCTTTATTACACTTATTTGATCATATACTTGATAATGTTTGTTTCATTGATTATCCTGTTTATTTTTAAACAGTTACAGATGGTAATAATTGGTGTTTATGGTGGTTAGGAGGGTGGTTATCTAACATTTGTTTAGTTCTAGTTTGGGCATAAACAAATTAAATGCAGGCAATGTTTTCTCGTATAGTTCATTGATTGTCACATTTTATCTGTTTGCATAATAAAATGTGCAAGTATAAAAATGTAAGCATTACATATTTGTTTTTCAGCTAATTCCATCACTCTGGGCCGGCTGTCCAACAGAATCAGCGCTGACCATGAGGACGTGCACGTGCCTGTCAAAAAAGTTCAACCCAAAAAAGCCAAAGTTGTGGTTTTCTGATTCAGAAACCTAGAAATGGACAATTGAATTGATACTACAATTAAGACTTGGTTTCTACAGTCATTGCCAATGATTCTGTTTTTAGACACATAAACATCCCCCTGATGAATCTGAGACTGGAACATCACACATGATTTGGTCAGAATTGTATGTATTTTTATGCTATTGAAGTATTCAGGGAATTTGCATAGAAACAATACAACTTATTTTGTACAACTCTACCCAATACAAGAGGTGTGATTTTGTGGTTGTAATTTATATAACTGCTATTAGATGTACAGTTGAGGACAAAATGATTAGCTCTCCTGTTTTTTTTTCCAATAAGTGCTGTTTAACAGAGATATAAAACATTTTCCAACATATCAAAAATTATTTCATAAAGGGGCTAATAATAATGACTGTGGCAGTTTTTACATTCAAAAATAAATATATTACAGTCAAATTAAAAGACTTTCTCCTGAATATAATATAAATAGGAAGTTCTGTGAGCAAAATGTCTTTGCTCTGTTAAACACTTATATTTGAAAAAGAATAGTTATTGATTAATAATTTTGTCTTTAGCTGTATCTTCTGATCTTTTAAAGGTGTCCAAACAAAAGGGCCAATAACCAAATATCATTAAGAGCCGTGAGCCGAAGATAAACACACCAAACTATTTTACATTAAAGTTGCCATGGGTAATTTCCTAATATTAAAAAATAAATAGTAAACATTACTTTTTAATCGTATTACCTAATGCTGTATAACTTTTTAATTATATATTTTTTTGCATTAAAAACATGAACAATACCATTTATAACAGTGGAGTTCAATGCTGAATACACTAGTCACACTTGGTCTCTATCTGTCAGGTGACAGTATGTACATTTTAAACTGAACAGCATTTAGATTGAAAAATTTGTCAGCTTTTTTTGTTGCTTAACAATACAACAAATAAATAAAAGGTTAAATTAAACTTGAAATGACAGTCTCTAAACCATCACCATCATTCTCCCTCTCTTCTCAGATGAGATGGCGGGCCAAATCAAAGATTACCATGGGCCAACTTAGTTTGAGCATCTCTGCTCTAGGGGTTATAAATTAGGAAAGGAAGCTAGAAATTGTTTTGGTTTTCCTTTAGCTCATCAGCGTTATCGATTAAAACATCATTTCAGAATGGACAGACAAATCTTTTTATTTATTTTTATTAATTATTTATAGTTTATTGCTATTGTGACATTAAACTGCTCCATGCAGCCAAAACTATTTGTTTTTAGCATATATGACTTGACAAGCATGTACTGTATGTGATTTCCTCCAAAATCCTCCCTGGCTGCTTTAAAATGTAAACCATAAAGGCCCTATCATACACCCGGCGCAAGACGTGACGCATTTGTTGTTTGCTAGTTTCAGCTCGATGCAAGAATCATTTTGACGTTTTGTGCCACGCTGTTTAAATAGCAAATGCATTTACGCTCATATGTGCGTTCTGGTCTAAAAAAGGAGGCGTGTTAAGGTGTGTTGCTATTTTGAGGAACTAAAATAGACAGTTCAATAGACCAGATCAAATCAGGTCTATAGTCCAGCGCAGAGCGTGTTAGTTGAGCGCCTCGCTTACACATTGCTTAATACACACAGGATGTACAGCAATATGCAAATATCTTTACAAATGAAAAAGAATTAAAGGATTAAAATATTACAAAAATTATTATTTTCTAGCCTACATAAATATAAACACTGTAGCTAATAATATAGCTCTATTAGTGTTTACATTTTTATTTAAATTGTTTTATTTATGCAGAACTAAAAGAAATAAGACTTTCTTCAGAAGAAAAACGTTTTAGGAAATACATTGAAAAATGTCCTGGCTCTTTTAAACCTTAAATATTTATGCTACTAGTTTTACCCTCATATGGATGTAGTCCTGACTTATTTGTCATAATTATTTACACTGTATGAGTTGTTGATGTCCTTTTCAGCAGGGTATGATATTATTGTGTGTTAGAATGGTGTGGTCAGCACATCTCTCTCCAGATACGTGATGCAGGACATTGCCGTTTCCTCCATAGATCTGGACCAGCCAGCTAAGTTTCCCTCCACATACGGCAGAATTCCAGAGGTCACCTGGTTGTAGTAGGACACCTAGAAGAGCAGCCAGAAATGAACAGAACTGCTTTAACCTTTTATCATGTCCACACATACACAGTTATTTTGTTTTCCTCGCCTTTTTAACAAAAAAAAAAAAAAAACTCTCTGTCCACATGACAAGCTGCAAGTGTGAGAAAAAAATCTCAACCCTGGCTGATGCTTTAAGAAAGTTTTGGTTTTAGCCACCTAATACTGCATTTACATGCAGACAAACGGCCAAAGAGCATAGAAAAAAAACTATTGTGAAAACACCCGTGTTCATGTGGATGTGGACAGGGTCTCAGTTTGTACCTTGCAGGTTGAAACACTGGTTTCCTGAATGAGGAATCCTATACATTTGGCTTCACTCCGAATGCAGTTCTCTTCAGGCGGGACAGCTGCCAGCGTGACGGACCGCAGTGCTACCACATACGGGTCTCTGAGATAATTAAAATACATTTGCAGATTTATTTCTCATTACTTGCATCACTTTTTCAAACCCCACTTTGAAGTAAAAATGACTTACTGACAGCTACAACCCACATAGCAAAATTTCTCTGGCCCAGCTCTGGCCCACACAATCAGGTTTTGCTTGGCCCACATGCCGCAGTGAATTACGGTACATGACTGGACCAAATCTGGCTTCCACACAAGGGCCAAACACAGACCATATCTGGGCCAAGTCTCAGCCAAGTTAATAACTCATAACTGGGCCTGAACTGGGTCAGATAGGTTGGTGTGTCACGATTGCAATGAAATTGATAAACCCATGGAGTGATGCGCTTTAGGCACACTATGGGCACGCTTTTTCTCAAAGTGACCTGATAGGTAGAATTTTTTTTCTTTACTCAAAAATTATTTTAGTGTATTTTAAATGTGGGTCAAGTCTGGCCAAACTCACATGGCCCACTTATCAAGTTTTTAAATCTGGGCCAAATACTACGTTTTTCATCTGGCCAGTCTTGGTGCCACCTCTGCCAAACCCGGGCCATGTTTGGCCCACATGCTGTATGGCAGTGCCGGATAAATGGCAGCTGTGCCAGCTTTTTGCCAAATCTGGGCCAGAATTCTTTGCTACTAGGGAACAGTCAAAAATCACATCAAATCCAATTGGTACATTTACTTTTCCGGGTTTTTTTTGAGTGCCTTTTGAATGTAAAATCAGACAACTTAAATGTGCTGACGTGTTAAGAGAAAACAATCCAAGCACAGGGTTTCTGCAGGTTTCACAAAGTCAAATTTAAAACGTTTTTATAAATTAATTGTCAAACCTTCACAGCACTAAACACTAAGGATTTTTTTCTTATGGCTGTGTAGAAAAGAGGTTTATTTGCCTCATCCAAAGTTATTTCTGTGCCACGTATTTTAACCCTCTACTGCAGGGGTGGCCAACCCTGTTCCTGGAGAGCCACCTTCCTGCAGATTTCAGTTGCAACCCATATCAAACACACCTGTCTGTAATTATCACGTGGTGTTCAGGTCCTAATTAATTGGTTCAGGTGTGTTTGATATGGGTAGCAACTGAAATCTGCAGGAAGGTGGCTCTCCAGGAACTGGGTTGGCCACCCCTGCTCTACTGCAAGCATTATGATAGATCAATTTAAAAAATATTGACTTTTTTTTCTTTTCTTAGAATGGCTTAACTTGAAGTGCTGTAAAAACATTTGGAGAATTTTTTTTTTTAAAGTACTTTATGATGCCATATGGCAACAACGTCCAACAGTGGATCCAACTTAGAACTTTCCTTATAGTTAATAATTTTGCTATTGGAAAGGATTGAATTGGTGTCGCAGTATTATAAGCTTTAACACAGACCTTATAAATGACACATTATACATACTTTCCAACAACTCCTATTCCAACAGCTTTCATTCATTTGCTGATTACTGAAAACAAACATACTATTGTATTATCATGTATACAACACACAGTGGGTATAAATATTTCAACAATGTTTATATATTAGGGGTGACGCAGTGGCGCAGTAGGTAGTGCTGTCGCCTCACAGCAAGAAGGTCGCTGGTTCAAACCTCGGCTGGTTCAGTTGGCGTTTCTGTGTGGAGTTTGCATTTTTTCTCTGCATTCACATGGGTTTCCCCCACAGTCCAAAGACATGTGGTACAGGTAAATTGGGTAGGTTAAATTGTCCGTAGTGTATGAATGTGAATGGATGTTTCACAGGGATGGCTTGTGGCTGGAAGGGTATCCGCTGCGTAAAAACATGCTGGATAAGTTGGCGGTTCATTCCGCTGTGGCGACCCCGGATTAATAAAGGGACTAAGCCGACAAGAAAATGAATGAATGTTTAAATATTATACTATATATCAGCGGTTCACAAACTAGGGTGCGCGAGAGAATGTTTGTAATGGCGTAAAGTTTTATTCATTCATTCATTTTCTTGATGGATGGAGACTATTTGTATCTGTTTTTTTATACTACAACTTGTGAAATAAAATATAATTGTTCTCCTGATTGTAAGTCACTTCATTTACCCTCTGCTAAATCGTTAACACTGACAAAAGTCATCTGGTTACAATACTATAGTATTTTATTAACCATACTGACACTGACACCTCTAGTAGAGATCGAGGTGTCACATTATCAGCTAAAATGTTGCTAGAATTGGTTTTCATGTATGGGCGATACATATTTCATCACCAAAAATGACTGAGCTCATGTCCATGTGTTGTGCTATATACATGCACATTTTTAACATATATTTTCTTCAAAAACAAAACAACACATTGGTGAGTAGAGTTTGGTTCAAGGCTTTTTAAGATGGATTATTGGTGATTAGAGACATGAGCCCCTTTCACACAGTGATACCGGTAAATATCCGGAAAATTTACGGAACGACTTTACCGGTATATACAAAAAAGCACTGTTCACACAGGCGAGGACGTTACGGAATTTTTCCGGAAAAGAGCATTCACACATCCATTCCAAAATACCGGTAAATTCTGACATCATTCACCACAAATGAGCTTTAAACGGCTGCGCTTGTATTTGTAAACATTTGACTAAATTACAAACTCTTTTGATGATCAATATTGTAAACAACTTTCACAGGATCATATTCGCATGTCGAGATGTACATGATATGTGTGTGTGCTGGCGCTCACAGGCTGTTTCACGGGCACACGCAAAGCTTGAAGGTAAACAAACAACGGCTTATCATAAGCATCTTATCGATTATTATTTGCACAGTTGGCATTAAGGAGAACATATAAACGTTATCTGACTAACTTCTAGCAGCTAAATGTGTCTGGAAAAATATTCAAAGGCTTTTATTCTCACAAACCGCGCGGACGTAAATGCGTCTGACTGTTGTGATTGGCTAAAGCAGAAGTCTTACGTCAGCACGTTCTAGACGTGCACGCGCTTATTCCGGAAATATTCCTTCTGCCTTCACACAGCGCAGCATTCCGGCAAATTGCCGGTAATATTACAACTTCTCTTTCCGGAAAATAGCCAGAACGAATTTACCAGTATTTTCAAGAAGGGCCTGTACACACATACAACCTTTCCGAAAAATTGCCGGTAATTTTCCGGAAAGGTCTGTATGTGTGAAAGGGGCTATGGACAGAGGAAACTTAAGACATGTTTAAAAGGATTTAAGACCTACAAGACAACATTTCAGTGAATTTAAAACTTTTTAAAACCTCACAGAAACCCTGCAAGCACTGAGAAATTGTTAAAAGTGCATTAGTGAAACCTACCCATCTTTGCAGGGCTGCCTTTTAGACAGCAGGTACACAAAATCCCGACATTTGCCTCCATTAACTGTAGCACATTTAACATGATAGATGGTCTCCTCCTCGTCTGCTTTCTCCACCTCATCACAGCTCCTGGAGAAAGTTCAGATGGTGAGAAACTCAATTTGAAGTGTTTTTGCACTCATAAACCGCAATCTCTTGTTCTCCTACAGGTAGTTTTTGTCCCACTGTGGCCGTAGCTGCAGGTCGGCGAGCATGGAGAAAGCATGAAAAGCCGTGGTTTTGGCCTGCATCTCGACTTTTAAACACAGCTTATCTGCCTCCTCGTGCACATAGAGTCCCATCTGCCAGTCACACACACAGCTAATTCAGCACATTATATAATTTAGTTTATATATAAAATGTTATATGGTTATGACCTTATCAGTGATGTTATTGGGCTCCCAGTCCCGTTGTCCAGCTATCACGGTGAGAGCTGCCACATTGTTGTACCCCAAATACACCTGCAGAGGGCAGAGATGTTACACACAACATTAGTTCTGCTTAAAGGGATAGTTCACCCAAAAATGTAAATTTGCACTCAGTTTACACACTCTTAAGTGTTTCCAAACCTTTATTTTATTCTGTGGAACACAAATGAAGATAGTTGGAAGAAAGCTGAAGTCCTGTAACCACTGACTTCTATAGTAGGAAAACAAATGCTATGGAAGTCAATGGTTACAGGTTTTCAACATTTTTCCAAAAATCTTATTTTGTGTTTAACAGAAGAATGAAACTTACAAGGTTTGGATCAAGTTAAGGATGGGTCAATTATGACAGAATTTTCCATTTTGGGTGCACTATCCCTTTTAGGTTATTATAGTTGAGCATTTTTACACTAGTTTTTAATATATACTATGGAATTTAAACTATTATGTGTCTGGTTGTGGATAAACTTACTTTTTGTTGCATATTTTTAACAGTTTAAGTATGAAAAAGGACTTTTATATAGATTAAATTTAATTTTAATAAGTTTAATTACATTTATTCATTAATTTTCCTTTGGCTCAGACCCTGATTATTCGGGGTCGCCACAGCAGAATGAACCACCAACTATTCTGGCACATGTTCCACACAGAGGATGCCCTTCCAGCCACAACCCAGTACTGGGAAATACCCATACACTCTCACATTCACACACTCATACACTACGGACAATTTATTTCATTTACATCCAATTCCCCTATAGCGCATGTGTTTGGACTGTGGGGGAAACTGGAGCACCCGGAGGAAACCCACGCCAACACAGGGAGAACATGCAAACTCCACACAGAAACCTTTTATTTTATTTTAAAATCGAGCACATTTGTAATTCACACCCAGTGTAAAAGGTTACTGTACTTAACATTTTACTTACACTTAATATTTTGGTTAAAAACATCAGTAATTTTGGCAGTTTTAACAACTTACGTTCAAAGGACCTTAATAAAATTATTTGAATTCAATACTTGTGACATTTAAATATTGATCAAATGTGCATTATTTTTCAGTGTTATTGTAAAAGATTTAAATTTAAATCATTTTGTTTTTGACAATTGAGTACAAGTGTTAAAATAAAACCGGAATATTTTATTTCAAATTTAATTCCAGCACTTTTCTCTCTTTTTTTGTTTGTTTTTAAGTACTTTCAGCCCTCAATCCAAAAGTCTGAAATTCAAGAAGCGTGGGAAGCCTGAGTACACTATATCTATTTCTTTAAATAGGTAATAATAAAAAATAAGTACCTGATTACTTCTGTCCCAGGGCACAGAAACCGGTCCCTCGTCTCTTGAGTACAAAATATGTTTTCTAGGAAAAATATATACAATAATATATAAATTTAGTATGTTTCCTGTAATGAATGTGTATTTAAAATAATTTATGCCACAAAATGTCTAGTATATATTTTATATAAAACAAACCTGGCCATGCGAATCCTCTTCCTTACGATAGCACCAATAAAGCGTCTTTCTCCATCCTAAAAAATAAACGCTACTATTAATGTGTCTATTTCTTGCTGGTTTATGCATGTATATTTGAACCACCTGGATGACTCGACAGCAGCCTTATTGCACCAGACTGCATGCCACATATGATGGTTGGTGGAGAAGAGACAGAGTGATGAAGCCAATTATGATATGGGGATGGTTAGGAGGCCATGATGGACAGAGGCCAGTACGCAAGTTTGGATGCCTGGGTTAAACCCCTACTCTTTTTCAAAGGACATCTGGAGATTTTTAATGACCACAGAGAGTCAGAACCTCAGTTTAACCGAACAACAGCACCCACAGTATAAACTCCTCATCAATATACTGGGACGTTAGGACCCTTACAGACCACAGGTTGGGCGCCCCCTGCTGGCCTCACTAACACCACTTCTGGCAGCAACGTAGCTTTCCCATGTGGTCTCCCATTCAGGTACTGACAGGTTGCAGCTCTGCTTAGCTTCAGTGAGCGATTATGTGAGAGTTGCAGAGAGCTAGCTGCCAGCACTTGTCGTGTGTATCGCCTCTTCTTGTTGAATCGCTGAATGCCTCCTCAATTGTAAGTCGCTCTGGACAAAAGTGTCTGCTAAATGACTACATGGTAATGTAAAATGTGAATGCAATAACTCACAAGTGTTGTGTAGGTGACGTCAGGAAGCATGCGTCTCTCACCATCCCGCTCTGGGATGTAGTACATCATGGAGGCGCTGTTGATGTGTCGCGGAGTTCCCTCATTCCACTCCTCACAGTTATACGCCTCCACCCGCACACCCACCTCCACACTGAACAATGGAGAACAATGTGTTCAAATGAGTGCTGTCGAGCCATTGACAACCATATTTACAATATACAGTATATATGAAAATGAATACTTTTCTCTAAGGATACAGGTGTTTTTGTCTCTCAGAGAATACATATTGATTCCTCAATTATTCATTTTCTTGTCCGCTTAGTCCCTTTATTAATCCGGGGTCGCCACAGCGGAATGAACCGCCAACTTATCCAGCAAGTTTTTACGCAGCGGATGCCCTTCCAGCCAGAACCCATCTCTGGGAAACATTCACACACACACTCATACACTACGGACAATTTAGCCTACCCAATTCACCTGTACCGCATGTCTTTGGACTGTGGGGGAAACCGGAGCACCCGGAGGAAACCCACGCGAAGGCAGGGAGAACATGCAAACTCCACACAGAAACGCCAACTGAGCCGAGGTTCGAACCAGTGACCCAGCGACCTTCTTGCTGTGAGGCGACAGCACTACCTACTGCGCCACTGCCTCACCCCATATTGATTACTGTCAATAATAATATCATTATTGCAATAAATACCAGAAAATATCATGATAAAAATCATCCATCGCCCAACTCAAAGCCTCCCTAGGTCAGTCAGGTGTGTGTAGCTCCTTTACCTGTTCTGAAAGGTGTTATTGACCATGGCTTTGAACACTAATCTGTCACCAACAAATGACGGCCCTCGGAAGCGAAACATGTCCACAGCTCCGAGAGAAGGATAGTAGCCACACAGACGACTGCGAGAACACAAACACACAGACAAAAAATGCAGATATATTACACCCAAGAGCTAAGAACTACACTGCATAGTCCTGCAGAATTATCATTTATAATAATCAATCATAAACAGTTGTATTTCTTGGCTATTTTGTAATAAATGTAACACATGTATGATAGCAAGAACAACAGATAGACATGAGGTTAGTATTTGGTTGCTAGTATGTTTTGACTTGTCTCTAGGGTGTTGTAAAGGTGTTGTTGTGCAGTTGATGGCATGTTTTGAATGCTTCCCAGGAAGTTGCATTGTTGTTTTGTGTGGTTTGCGATGGGGTTGTTGTGCAGCTAATGATGCATCTTGCAGGTGTATCTGATACCTGGCTGCTACTGTAGCTACATTCTCCATCCAGGCCATGATCTGCCCTCCAAACGTGTTTCCATGGTGATTAGCGTGTGGCGGCAGCACCAACTCGATGCTCTCGACCCGTGTGAGCTCAGTCGACACTGCAGGTGTCACAGGTTTCCCTCTGTACAATCCTGAAACATCAACAGATCCTGCTCAGCACACTCTCCACCAGCACCAACTGGTTCATTCCACCAGAGACAGTGGGTCACATTTACTAAGCATGCATACATGCAACTTTTTTCATGAATAAATCATGATTCATCAAAAACATTTGTACAATTAAATGTAGGAAAAAAAATCAGGAACAGCTTAAGCTTAAATACAACATGTGCAGTATGCAATAATTATGCATGCACGAGGCCTTATAAGCATGTTTAAAAACCTACATATTTGTTATTTACAGGATGGGAGAAAGGTAACTTGATATTACAAATTGATAATGCAATATTACCGGCCACTTTATTAGGTACACCTGTCCAACTGTATGTTAACTCAAATGTCTAATCAACCAATCACATGGCAGCAACTCAATGCATGTAGGAATTTAGACATGTTCAAGACAATCTGCTGCAGTTCAGAATGGGGAAGAAAGGGGATTTAAGTGACTTTGAATGTGACATGGCTGTTGGTGCCAGACGGGCTGCTCGGAGTATTTCAGAAACTGCTGATCTACTGGGAATTTCACGCACAACCATCTCTAGGGTTTACAGAGAATGGTCTAAAAAAAGAGGAAATATCCAGTGAGCGGCTGTTCTGTGGGCGCAAATGCCTTGTTGATGTCAGAGGTCAGAGGAGAATGGCCAGACTGGTTCCAGCTGATAGAAAGACAACAGTAACTCAAATTTACAGCCAGTTACAACCGAGGTCTGCAGAAGAGCATCTCTGAACACACAACACGTCCAACCTTGAGGCGGATGGGCTACAGCAGCAGAAGACCACACCGGGTGCCGCTCCTGTCAGCTAAGAACAGGAAACTGAGGCTACAATTCACACAGACTCACCAAAACTGAACAATAGAAGATTGGAGAAACGTTGCCTGCTCTGATGAGTCTCCATTTCTGCTGACACATTCAGATGGTCGGTTCAGAATTTGGCATCAACAACATGAAAGCATGAATCCATCCTGCCTTGTATCAGCGGTTCAGGCTGGTGGTAGTGGTGTAATGGTGTGGGGGAGATTTTCTTGCCACACTTTGGGCTCATTAGTACCAATTGAGCATCAACGCCACAGTCTACCTGAGTATTGTTGCTGACCATGTCCATCCCTTTATGAGCACAGTGTCTCCACTGTGAACATGAAATTGAGTTCACTGCACTCAAATGGCCTCCACAGTCACCAGATCTCAATCCAATAGAGCACCTTTGGCATGTGGTGGAACAGAAGATTCACATCATGGATGTGTAGCCGACAAATCTGCAGCAACTGTGTGATGCTATCATGTCAACATGGAGCAAAATCTCTGAGGAATATTTCCAGTAGCTTGCTGAATCTACACGAAGGATTAAAGCAGTTCTAAAGGCAAAAGAGGGTCCAACCCGGTACTAGTAAGGTGTACCTAATAAAGTGGCCGGTGAGCGTATACTGTAAAAATAAATTAGAAGACTCTAAGTTCAATAACCGAAAAGCAAGTTAGATCGACTGCATCTTAAAGGGTCTAAAAATGACCAGCCACAGTATGTCTATTACTGCATTAAAAAGTAGGCTAAACAACTTAGGGAAAAATCTAACTGCAATTAGATGGCGGTTTACACTAATTTAAAGGGGGAGTTGAAGTACAGTGCTGCTAACCTTTGTCTTGAAGGTTGTAATAGTCTTTCATGAGGTTATTGAAGGCCTCTTCATTATAGAGACGGAGTCGTCGTCTTTCAGAAGCCAGAGAATGTTCCAGCATTTCCTCTACTGAGCCCTGAACGTCCAGCGGCTTCAGAGACACCTGCACACACAGGCAGCGGAGAATATTTAGGAAATTTAAAAATGTGAATACATATAATATGAACATGCACACATTTGTTACAGTAGCCTAAATTTAAATTTGACACACATCTCATATTAAAATGTTGCCATGTTTGTGCGAAACAGCAGAAATGCATGATAGTTTAAAAGTAATACAATGCTTCTGAATGAGACTACTAAAAAAAGTTAACCCTAAAATTTGTCCATGCACCTTAAAATTATGAATTAGTATTTTATTCCATGTCATTTTATGAAAACGAATACCTTATTATTGAATTTCATTACTCCAGTCTTCATTGTGGCATGACCAGGGGCGAACTTAACCAAAAAGCAAGGTAAGCAGCCGCTTAGGGTCCTGGGGAATTAGGGGGCCCCCAACCAAAATGCCAAGAAGCCTACATTAATCATATAGCTCTTTTATAAATTTTCTATCATATTTTGTAAAATCTGTCTATAACTGTTAAGATTTTAACGTTATTACTTCTTTTCAAAAGCGGGAGCCCCCCATGAAGAATGGAATGTTCCATCTGTACCAACACCAATCAGACACACCTGGGCTAGCTAATCAAGTTCTTAAGCAGAAGTCACACTGCACTTTTCGCCCCATAGACTGTGATGCAAGCGAATGCGACAGATCGGAAATGCAAGATTGCGTGACAAGTTTCGCAGTCGCTGCGTTGGAAAGTTTAAGCTTGGTAAAACATGACCTCAAAGATCAAAACATGATAGAAATGTAAAATCACTTACGTTTTTAAATGTCTAATCATCTTGTTTAATCCTGCCCCTTTTTCGCAGTGCCGTACTACATAATTTTGCATGCTCAAAGTTAGAGTTGTGAACCTATACTGGTCCCACGGTTCGGTTCGGTTACGATTATCATGCTATCGATTTGGTTCAATTCGATATCTCGGTGCATCGACGATGCTTTCCACATATTTTTGGGGGAGGCTATAACAAGCTGTCTGTATAAACATACAGACACACAGCACCTCACTGTCTCTCATTCACACACATACACAAACATAGACTGCACTAAACACACAAACAAACACACACACCCACACATTTAAGCGCACACCCTCAAGCTGAGCGTAGCAAAAAAAAAGAAAAGAAAAAAAAAGAAGCACTTTTCCGACAGTCACATACTGAGAGCTTCGCTCAGCATGGCTAAACGCAGATTGCAAGGGCTTAAACGGAGCAGTGGTCGTAATGTCGAGCGAAAAAAAAAGAAAAGAAAGACAGCTGTGAAACATAACAAGCTTTGTCTTTTTGTAGGAAACACACTTTAGATCTTTATAGGGTAAGAGGTTTTTGAGTTATTGCTGTCTATCACTGAATGTGTCAGGAAAATCGAAAACAAAACCAACTGAACCGCGCTTATTTCTGGCGCCCCCTGGATGTACAGCGCTCTTAACATTTGCCTTTACTGCCTATGCCATGGGCCGGCCCTGGAGTGTTGTAAAAACCCGCACTCACCTCCCTCACGACAGAGCGCATAGGAGAGAAATGACGTCAGAACATAATAACCGGTTATGATTATTACTGAACCGATACTGAAGAAACAATTAATTTTGACACCCCTACTCAGTCTAGCGTGACCTTTGATGAGCTAAAATCATCTAATCATAGTTAGTTTGTGAACTTGTTTTTTTTTTTTGTAAATTTATTACAAAACAAATTTACAAAAACTTTTAATTTTATATTAAGAACATAAAAGTTTCTTTAAATATTAAAATATATAAAATATATTTCAATTATTCAATTAACTTTTTATATATATTTATATTTAAATAGCCTATTTTTTTAGCAGACTATTTTTCAAAAATGCTACAGCCCCATACCTGGAATTGCTTAAGGCCCCCAAATCACTAAGGCCCAATCCCAATTCTACCCTGTAGCCCTTGCCCTTAACTCTACCCCTCGTTTTGCACGTTCATGTCAAGGAGTGGGGGTCTCCCAATCCTCTTTAGCTTGAAGGTGTAGGGCTAAGGGGAAGGCGTGAATAGCCCTTCGAACAAAGATTTTTCTGGACCACACTCGAAACCAAGGCGTGAGAAAGTTTCCCAGAACACACCAGCCACAACGGCAGATAGTTACACCCGGAAGTAAGTAGATCCACAAATTAGTATTTTTTTGCCATTATTACAAATTTTTACAACAAACAAACATGTTTTAATATATTCATCACCGCGTTCATGATTCACTGTCATGCTTAAAACAAAAAAACTGCAAAATTTTGCAATCTATAATCCATAATCATAACTCCTGTATAGCAGTCCCACAACATTCTAACACTCGAATACCCTGTCAGAATAGAGTAGTGGCTGGGAATGAGCTGTTTATAGTGCCTGCTTTAATGTTAATGTTGTTTTGGTGTGATCTCATATGAAGCAGGAGCTCGCGATGACATACGATGACATGTGCAGATGCTGAAGTGCTGTCCCAGTTCTTTGGGGTAAATTTTGAAGCCCTTTCCCTTCACACTCGGTTTTAAGGACCAAGGTGAAGGGGGAAGGGGTACAAAAATAGAATTGGGATTGGGCCTAGGTCTGCCCCTGGACATGACCCTTCTAAAGTCATCAGAACATGTTGATTTTCACTGTTTATTATCATTAATAGAGTATCATCATCACTGTTACAAACCTTTGCGCTGTTTCATATTGTTGTTGAAAACGTAAAACAGTTTACTTGTTAAAAAAAAAGTGAAATATCTTACTGACCCCAGTTTTTGTTTAGTATTGTGGAAACTCAGATTTAAGTGGCCTCAATAGGGTGTTTACTTCGCAGAGATATTACCTTTTGTGTTCCTGTTGGCTTTGCAACAAATGTAGAAAAGGCCACACACACTCTCTTCATCACGCCGCTGAGCACCTCCTGTACGGTTACATAGATGCCCACCTGATAAAAACACAGATCCATTACAGTTTCTCCATTAATAATTAACACACTAAATGTGTTTGATCTGGTATTACCTCCATGCTGGTGTTGAAAGCCCTGTTCACTCTGGATTTGATACTGATGACCTGCCCAACCCTGAAACACACACAGATATGATATGAAAACAGATAAATATACCACATAAACACAAGATATTTACTGATAAGTCACTAAAAAAATGATTGCTTGCTAAAACTGTCATTTCAGGAGCAACAAGGTGGTTATGTTAAAGAAATAGTTCATCCAAAAATCCCCTCACCCCTTAATAATTTACTTGCCCCTTAAGCCATCCTTGCTGTATCTTTCTCTTTGCTCAAGACAAACACAGCTGGAGTATTTTTTTTCCTGGCTCTTCAATACTGTAGTTGAATATTGGCTTTTATTTTGAAGCTTAAGAAAGTGCATAAATTCTCCATAAAAACTAACCCATTAACAATTGCTTCTTGGATTTACATTTTCTTCATTATTATTTTTTTTCACATTATTTTATTATTTTCATATTATTTTTTCACCTTTATACGATAATACAGTCGAAAGAATTGACAGGAAAGTGTGGGGAGCAGAGAGAGGGGAAGGATCGGCATAGGACTTTGAGGCGGGAATCGAACTCAGGTCGCTGTGAGCACCGGAGTGCATGTGTCAATGCACTTGCCACTATGCTATTGGCACAGACCAAGGTACACGTTTTCTAATTTAATAACCAGTGTGCTTTCTCTCACAGTCTCTTTATCAGACCAAGAACAAACATTTCATATTATTTAATAAAGAATTCGATTATTAGGTGAAGGCATGGAGGCAGTGGTGTTTATATTTATGAAGAAAATAATTGTTTTTGTATCACTTTAATCCTTTAATTGTTTTCATCTGTAAAGATGTTTGTGTGTTGCTGCACATCCTGTGTGTATTCAGCAATGTGTAAGCGTTTGGACCTGCATAGGCTCATAACTAACTAACAATATGCTATTCATACAACATGGCACAAAACGTGAAAATGACAGTTGCGCTGGCCTCAAAATAGCAGCAAATCGTGCCATACACGTCTTGCGCCTTATTGCACTGGGTGTACGATAGGGCCATCATGTGTTTTTGCTTCGAAACCTTTAGAAATCTTTATTTTCGATCAGTGGTTTGGAAGGACTAATCAAATTGGCAGTAAATTATGAGGCAATTTTCATTTTTGGATGAACTGACAGGGATAACTGACAGGAGTGTGTCAATAGCTGTTTCCATCCACCTATTTTTATGTGCATTTTGGATTATTCTAAAAGGCTTGATGGAAATGCCAAGATGTGCATTAGAAACCATATGTGCACAATTGAGTTAAACTAAGTAAACTCAATTGTGCACTCGATTAAACTTTTTATCCGATAAGAAAAAGTGTGCATAAACTACGATGGAAACACTTTTTAGGAATAAATTTCAGCATGCACATTAAAAAGTCTGTGATTTTGTTATAAGAGATCATGTGATGATATAAATGTGTGTGATGGGATGCATTAATGGACTTTACAGCATTTCCAGCAGATTGTAAAACATCTGAAATGTTGTTTTTCAAATGTAAAAGGCCTTATGCATCAGTCCGTCATCACACTGCTTAAGTATTATTATTCTTCTTCTATTATTATACCCTCCAGAACTGTCTTGGGCATCTGTCTGTGCTCCCAAAGAGCGCCTCACGCCTCCAAAAGTCAATAAAGTCATTGTGATTTGTCTTCTGAGGCGGAAGTAATTTATTATACAAGTAAAAAGACTAACGAAGCTTCTCCTACTGCAAAAAAAAAAAAAAAAAACGTCATTTTTCTGTCTGTTATTTGTCTATAGTTTATCAGAAAGTGATGCTCTTTTTTCTCTTTGGCTTATTGGATAGAAATGCTGCTTTATTTGCAAATATTTCATGCAATATTAATTAGAAATGTAATTAATTAGCATCTTTGGATGGAAACATAGCTACTGTGAGGAGTTTAAACTGACCAGACTTCTAAACACATGCAGATGTTTTGTTTCATGATGTTTGTTAGTAACCAAAACTGTAAAGCTATAGCTAAAGGCAGTTACAGTTTTAAAAGCAGCAGCTCATTTGCATTTAAAGTTAGTTAGTCGTTTGCATTTTAAGTTTAAAACATGCTTCCACTAAAGAAGGGGAATCTACTGCATGGAATAATAAATGATCAGTGAGGTGTTTATTCTAAAAAAAGCATAATAAAACCCCTTAAAATGATAATGGCCACAAAATAATACCTGACAGTCTCTTCAAACTGGATATCGTCCATTGAAGCCGTAACACACGCCATTCCTGCATGTCTTTCAGCTTAAAGGAAGAAAAAAAGAGATTGATAACATGCACTGCTACAGCATGTGGAAGCTGAAAAATGCTGTTCAAATGACCATTATTTATATTTGATGTGTCGAACTGGAGCAGAAACAGATGGAGATCCCATCAGAGAGGATGCATGTGTAAATCATTCATGTGCTCCTTCCTCAAACCTCCTTTTCCAACAGATTCCTGTATTGTGGGTTAAAGGTAGATGGATGCTAGTTGCCTTCGCCGATCATAGTCCAAAGGTGTTTTAGCTTATCTGCACTGGCTCTGACAGATCGATAACACGCTTATTGTTGTTTTGAAAACTGACACTTTTATCACTGTGGCAGGTCAGTCAAAGTCTCGCCGTATTTGTTTGTGAAACGTATTGAAGATCAATGTGTAATTTGGAGAATACTTTTATCTAAATGGATGTACAACATAGGATATTTGTCCCTAGAATCATTTAAGTTTTCATAGCACAAAAATGAGGGTAGCTTGTCCTGCTATTGGGGTATGATGACCTCCTTATCTGGGACAAATCAGCCAATGGTAAAGTCTAAAAGGGATGCAGCAGAGATGCCCAAACTAGGGCCTGCGGGCCAAAGTTGGCCCATTGTAACCATTGAATTGGTTCACTATCCCATCTGAGAATGATTTAGAGATTGTTACTTCAAATTTAATATAACCTTTTATTTGTTTGTTTTATTGTTTAGGGTCAGAGTTTCTTTTGGTATTTGGTGTTTCTTCAGATACTAAAAAATAAAAAATGTGCCATTTTTTTTAATATTCGTTTTTTTATTTATTTAAAAACGACTATTGAAATACGAGGCGTTTTTCCTTTTCATGGTGAAAAACGAAAAAGCAAAATTCAAAAATGAATAAAGGCTTGTTTTTTTATATTCCAAAACCAGATAGGCTGACGCAAGGTCGACGCAATGCTGCTACACACAGGCTAGCCTACTATAGGCTATTATTATTTCCACTTAATAACGTTATAAAAGGTATTTTCTTGTGATAACGAGATTTTGTTAGGACATATTTTCCTCATTAAGATGACATACTTCTTGTATAAGGGGCGGTTATAGGCTATATTTATTTTTTGTTAGCATGTTTTAAATGAAACAACCTTTATTTTGACATTACATGCAAGCGTCATTACATTGCTTAACTGAACACTTTTCTGAAAAGAAAGTTTTATTATTGTTAAAACCATAATGGTCCGTGTACGTTTTGATCATTTGTTTGAGCCTACTGATTTTTAATTTTTTAAAAATAGCCTACTGCTATATACACACACACACACACACACACACACACACACACACACACACACACACATACACACACATATATATATATATATATATATATATATATATATATATATATATATATTATGGAAATTTTTGGAATTTCCGTGGGTTTCCTCCGGGTGCTCCGGTTTCCCTCACAGTCCAAAGACATGCGGTACAGGTAAATTGGGTAGGCTAAATTGTCTGTAGTGTATGAGTGTGTGTGGATGTTTCCCAGAGATGGGTTGCAGCTGGAAGGGCATGAGCTGCGTAAAAACGTGCTGGATAAGTTGGCGGTTCATTCCGCTGTGGTGACCCAGATTAACAAAGGTATTAAGCTGAAAAGAAAATGAATGAATGAATGAATGGGATCATTTCAGTCAAACATCACCAAAGTTCAAGATAAAGAAAACTATTTACTAAAAATAATTATTGTGCGTATTAGGCATGGGACGATAACCGGTTTCAAGGCTTACCTTGGTTTGGAAAAGTCAAGGTTTTAAAACTGCTAAAGTATTCTGCTAAACTGTTTCTAAGGTATTTGTAAGTTATTTTTTTTACATGCTTTTTACATCTATTTTATTTAGTTGTTAGAGCAACAGTATCTTCAGCGGAAAATTAACCTCTACAACAAAAGCTACTGGTCTAAAATATTTTAAATGTTTCTTAAAATAAAATATATTGTGTTCAATGGGTGGAAAAATTAGTTTTTTACCCAGACATTTAATAATAACATATTTTGTAGGAGTAATCATCACAATACTGTGATTTTTTTATTCAAGGTTATTATACCAGTACTGTACCAGTGTGTGTGTGCTAGTACTTTTTGTGGTGTAAAAATGGTAATACTGAAGCTAGCCTAAATGAGTACAGCTCTCATAAAAATATGAAAACAAAAAATGATTGTTTTTTTTATAATCTTGGCATCATTTTAGCAAACGTCACAAAACTTTGTCACCAAACAAACACTAAACGTTGTTTTTCTATTGTTAAAATGATCACTGGGTCAATTTTGACCTGCAAGTCGGAGTCAATGGAAAGTAAAGGGAGAGAAAAAACCCACTGAAAGTTTGGGATTTCTGCAGTGACATTTACATTAGACGCAACTCTGAAAACTGGACTGAAGCAGTTTTAATTTACCAGAACTTCTATGTTAAGCTACTTTGACACAATCTACTTTGTAAAAGCGCTAGAGAAATATAGATTAATCGAATTGATTGAAGCAAAGACGCACATTTTGCATGAGCCCCGTCCACATACAGTCACTCACCTGCTAGACAGGCGGTGGTGTCCATCCACTTGAGCAGCTGCCCGGCGCCCAGCTCGCCCTGATGGTTGGCATGGCAGGGCAGGATGGACTGGCACATCTGCACCTCCACCGAGCCGAACCCGCTCCTGTTCTTCCGGTGCCCGTCCGTCGGTGGGCAGTTCTGGTCCATGATGGATCCTCAAGTGTTGCAGTGGTCAGTATTGTCCAGCTCTTATTAGGGCCGGTGGCAGCAGGTCACCTCACCTCTGGCCAACTTGGACGGTCTGCAGCACCAAAACACCTGAAGCACATATTTCCACATCACCTGCGTCATTACACAACATAGATTGTGATGTAATCGACGAGCGTGTGTGTTTTATTGACTTGTTTTATGTCTGCGGGTCATAAAGCTGCTGATGTATAATTTGATAGCAGAAGCGAGAGGCTGGAGGTCCAAAATATGACACTAAAATGATCATCAACGTAGTCTAAACGACGACCTATTTCAGGCGCGATTACAAATGCAATTTCATCAATGATGATTAATATAGTTAATATTAACGTCAACAGAATTGCTATGGTATTAGTCTAAACGGCGGCTTAACGTATTTTTCAGTATTTTGAGCGCGCGCTTTGCTTTTGTTCTGTCAATGAATGTTTTAATTAATGGGAAATGCTCTGAACAAGGTTATAAACACCCGTACTCCAATTTAAAGTCCAATTACGATTAATAAATCTAATATTAACGACGACGGAATTTATTCAGAGCGGTGTGTTATTCTGTAGTTCGACGCATTTCCTTCGCGGTCTTTAAAGCAGGAAAGATTTTGATTGGCTCTCAAACGATATGGGCCATACCATTATACTTTTCTCAGTCCGTCGTTTAATCCACGAGCTAGTGTTTTTCCCATACTGATAAACTTCCGGTAACATGTTAATGTGTTCTTTTTCATTTTATAAGGTTCCTTTTACAGCATAGATGTTGTAATGTTATTAAAATACAACCAGTTAAACAGACTTTGGCATTCATTTAGTTGTTCAAGCGTAAAATGAGACAAAAAGCCGTTTGCTCGCACACGCCCGTCAGAATCAGCAGACTACCGCAGAAGCTCCATACACCGGGATGAAATAAATGCTCATATTATAAAGACATGGAGGATAAAAATGTCATTTTAATGCAGTGCTTCTTGTACAATCTGAGACCCACTTTATATCGGATGTCAATCAGCCAGCACTGATTTTTTAAAGAAAACTGACCTTAAACGCGCCGATTTTGCATTGGCATACAGTTCACCGGAAAATATTAACCCAGGTTACTGGCAAATTTTTTATTTGAGAGATTTTCTAAAGCGGACACCATTGAAGCTAGAAAAAGATACCTGTCATTTCCCTTGTTACCTAAAAGGAAAGAAGTACATTTCAAAACAATTAATGACATCTATCCATGTAACAAATTTCTTAGAATAAGATTTAATTTAGACAGTAATGCTTGTATTTTCTGCTTGAAAGATACTGGATCTCAGGAACATCTTTTTTATTGTTGTTATATTATCAAATCATTTTGGGACAGATTGTATGAGTGGTTGATGACAAAAAATGTAATACCTGCGTTTGACTATTGTGAAATTTGCTATTTTTATGGAAAACAAAGAAACTGAATTTCTGTGTAATAATATGTTGATTATAGCAAATTTTTTATATCCACAAATGTAGATTTCTTAAAGTTTCTCCTTGTTTCGAAGCATTTAAAAAATGATTTCAACATTTTATATAAATCTATAAAACAGGTAAAAGTAAACTGTGCCTTAAAGTTCTTTAAACTTTTGTCAACTTATATGGACTGACCCCCCTGAATGTAACGTATTTTCTTTTGTATTATTTAAGGTTTATTTATTATTATTTGTACTGTTTTGTTTATTATATGCTGCTTGGATATAATCTTATATATGTTTAACAATAGAAATTGAAAATGCCTGTTTGTTATTTGAAGTTTAAATAAAAAAATAAAAAAGGTAACTGGCAAATTAAAAGTCCTATTAGCATGCTTCGGCATATACCCTATTGACTTTTTATGTCAGCAGGTCATAAAGCGAGAGGGGTCTGGATGCAGACCTGGTGGAGTGCAATCTGAGCTGCATCTATTGCTTTTTATTGTGAGTTTAGTTGGCGCATCGCTGCGGTAGGCCAATTAAAAAAGTCCAACAACTACATCAATGGCAAACAATAACGCTGATATTAATGTCAACAGAATTTATTCAACGTCTGTTACCCTGTAGTTTTGCGCACATTTTGTTTGCGGTCTTTAAAGCAGATAAGATTCTGATTGGCTCACAAACTTGTTTGTTTAACTAGAGGGATGGGCCATACCATCTTTTTTTTCTTTTAATTTCCTTCTGGTCCTTTAAGACAGTATTTTACAGAATAACAAAACAATTTATAAGAACAAAATAATACTAAATAGTAATTATATAGAATGATTTTTACACAATATGTAGCCTACAGTTAACAATCCTGGCAACAGCTTAAAACCATCACCTTATTCTCAGCTGTCGAGCGGGCGCTGCCATTTGAATCTTTTTGTCTCGCGACTTCCGGTCACATTCACTTCCATTCATTTTTTGACGTTAACAACTGCTCGTTACACTGCTTGATGTTGCAATTTAATATTTTCTTATTATATTATGCTTCTTGGTTTGTGTAGTCATGCAAACATTTGTTTGTTGAGCAAGTAGTTTGGCCATTTTCTGCCGTTTATTATTCCTAGTCATTTCTCCCATAGGCGACTGAATCGGAAGTTCTAAGACAATCGCGAAAACAGGCGCACTTCCGCGTTTTAGAATAAGGTCAATAGTATTTGGCAACAATACCTGTTAGTTAAATTAACTTTTTTCTAAACTTGTTTATGATCAGCTGGAGGGATATAGACGATATTTTTCTTTAATATGACAGATTTTGTCCATTTATAGAAAATATAAAATACAATGCAGTGCTTTACTAAATCAAAATTCTAAAACAATTTATAACATTATGAACAAAATAAATCTAAATATTATAAAATGATTTTAGCTTAAGAGAACAATTCTTCAAACAGTTTAAAACTGCGCCAAAATTCTGATTAGTAATCAGGTTAACGATACGAAAACAACATAATAATAGTTAAACAAAACAGTATTGCGCTAGGTGATATCCCAGATAGCAAAATTACAATTTCAACCTAAAATCAACGTTTCTCATGACATCAAATCAATGTTGATCACCGTTATCGATTCAACCCCATTTTGCTCATGGGTGTAATGTTGAAACAACGTCAGGCATCATTAAAATCTAACCTGAAATCAATACAACTGTTTACCAATGTTGAATTGATGTTGATTTACAGTCGATCTGCGTTATAGAATCCATACATTTTCAACCTAATTGGTTTGTCTACCTAATGTTGAAACGATGTTGACTTTAAGTATCATGCTCATCCCAAGGCCCCTAGAGACTATGCAGCGCCATTGATGTGATCCAAGAAAGGATGATCCCAAAGTATCCATAATCCTGGACCAGGCTGTATCCCGAGCTGATGTGGTCATGGAGGAATGAGACTGATTCCTGAAAGACCAGACGAGTCCTTGCATTGATCCTGTGGGCCAGCCTGACCTCCCGCCGGTGGCTTACTCACACCTGCAGCTTCTCCACGATGGACGTCCAGCTTCTCCAGCCTCCGCCGCCTAGACTGCAGCTTCACACAGGAAGTTTGGCCAGAAGAATAATGGTTGTGCCCAACAGAGCCTGGTTTCTCTTGAGGTTTTTTTTCATTACTTTGTCAGCTGGTGAAGTTTTGTTCCTCGCTACTGTCAACACTGGGATGCTTGGACCGGGACTTGTGGAGCTGCGCTTCGTTGGAGTTGCTCTTCAGTGCTTGAACTTTCAGCAGTGAAACTTACACCACACTGAACTGAACTTAAAATCTAAAATCTGGACTTTACTAGAACTATGTTAAGCTGCTTTAACACAATCTACACTGTGAAAAGCGCCATATAAAAAAAAAAAAACATGGATTGAATTGAAGTCAATTGGAAAAATGTAGACTCATCAAATACAGTAGTCAATATAAAATCGTTGAATACTATTTTAAATGTATTTTGATCTTACCTAAGGCCGTGAGCCGAATCTCCAAGAGGATTGAAGAAGAACGTCACTATCATCATATTTACACTGTAGTTTATTTCAATAACTAGTTATTGTTTTTAAGATTGACATTTGGCCAACTTTCATCATCGCTCATAAAAATAATGCGGCCAAATGTGAACAACTTGTACTTTTTATGTAAATAACACATAAAATCACTCATAATCAAGCAAAATAGAGTCTGTTAAACAGCAAAGAGAAGCTTTATATCAGTACAGTATTTCCAAAACTTCTCTGTGTGTGTGTATTTACAAAATTCAACACAAGGTAGAAAATAATAAACACTTCACAAAATCAAAAAATCAAATGAAAGTGTTGTACACCGACAGGGTCTCATAATCAGGCAATAATCTGGGGCAAAAAATGGCAAATGTTATTACAAATAAACACAAAAAACACCTCAGTTATTGTACAGGATTGATTTAAATAACTCACAGAGACTCAGATGAATCAGTTCCCCAAGCTATAAAAAATTCACACATATATATATTTATATTTTAGAAATTTTGCAATAATAATATTAATAATAATAATAATTCCACTTGAAATAAAAAAGCAAAGCAAATCACAGTTTCTCCGGGTGACATAACAACGGCTGTATAAATAAGTTGATTATTAGGATGACAGATGAAAGAATTATAACTCCCATCCGCGTGGCCTTCCTCCAAATCCATTAGCTTCCCAAAAAAATCATCCTCATTTCCGATATTCACATGCAAAGATTTTCACAAAGAAAACGCAATGTAAGAGCAGTAAACGTCGCATCTGTGTATGTCAATAAGGAGTATTTTCAAAAACATGACACAAATTCTCAGTTCAGTTGTAGAGGATGTTCCTCAAGCATCCCCGAAGTTAAAATTGCGTACGATGGATTTTCCGAAGTGACTGATGAAATGGCTGTTCTTCATAGGCATCCTCCTGAAAAAGAAATCTAGCAATCAAACAAATAAAAAACAAACGCTCCAGGGTGTTGATTAGACCTGCATTCAACACCAAACGATAAAAGCTGGATTTACAAACACATTTTTCGATCTCATCGATAACAAAAAAGCAGATTATGTATCGATTAGTGTGTGCTGACTGAAAAAAATGAGTTTTATCCTATGCAGCAGGCACAGGACGTCAACATGACGTCAGATTGATGTTGTACCCCAACGTCATGATGATGTTGCAGTTTGTTTGGAAATGAAAATCAGGTTGACGTCAGAACCAACACGATCTCACGGCAATTCGTAACTTTTTGATTCAGTGGCTAATTCGTATGAATTCGTACAATCTAATTCGTACAATTTAGTACGATTTTCTCATCCCTCAATGAGGGTTGGGTTTAGGGGTGGGGTTAGGTGCTACGCCTCCTTTTTAAAGTCGTACAATTTTGTACAACTAAACTCGTAGGAATTCGTATGAATTAGTCACTAAACTGGCAAAAAGCAAAATACGTTTTCTCGTGAGATCAGGCTGTCAGAACCCAACATCAGACAGACATCAATGTTCAACATCCAACCGAAAATCAACCAAATATCAACGTCTAATGATGTTACAGCTTGACGTTGTGTGGATGTTATCACTATGATGTCTATCAGACGTTGGATTTTGGTTGCCATACCTAACGAATAAATGTCAGTATTTGACATCAATATGGCATTGGTTTAAGATTCGACGTTGGATTTTGGTCACTTTCCAACACAACCTAAAATCAACCAAATATCAACGTCATTTGATGTCGTTATTGGACGTCAAAAATAACGTTATCTTTAGGCGCTGGCTAGACATTGAATTTTAGTCACCTGACGTTATGACTTAAATCTAACCTAATATTATCGTCTTATGATGTTGTGTGCCTGCTGGGAACTTGAAATCCATCTGTTTACATCCGTCGATTTACATCATATTTAAAGAAAATATGATTTAATATGAAAAACAGTTCCGTCGTCTTTCAAGCTTGTTGGAGAATCAGCAAGTGTCCTTTCTTACACACATCATGCACATTTAACTTTGAATGCACATCCACATATATACACAGAGATATACGGTACTGTCCAGAAGTCTTCAACACAGGCTCATTGTGAAAATGTACCCCCGTATACATTTCTGGAGAGCGTGAATTATGTAGCCAGAGCGGCATAAATGCTGCATTTTGTCTTTAAAAGGAATGCTACAGGGCAGACGCCGCTGATGGCTTCTGTTTCTTTTCGCACTACCACCTGTAAACTTAGCTCCATGTGCGTGGCTCTTCCGCTCTTACCAGTTTGTCCAGTGGCTCGCCACTTATGTCGGTGAACTTGAAATTCAGAGAGGAGTTGACTGTGATAAGGAGGTTCGAGTCCGGCGAAGAACGGTTCCAGAAAGAAGGTAAAAACTAAAGGCAAAAAATAAACGAAACGAGTAAATAACAGGGTGAGAAAGTGGTAAAATCTGAAAACGTGGTGAAAAATCAGGCTAGGGCTTTTCTTTTTCTGGATTGCTTTTGAAAACACTGTCGGTTGGGTTTAAGGAAGAGGGTGGGTGGGTCAATCGGTGCTTTTTAATACACTATTGGTTGGGTGTAAATAAGGGGGAAAGTGGGGGGATTGGTCGGTTGGTGAGTCAGTCAGTCGACAGCGGCCTCTAGTGGATTGGCGCGTGAGCAATAGGCGTGAATGGCACTCGCAAGAGAAATTTGAGATCTGAAAAAGCGTACACAGCGGCCTCTGGTGGATTGGCGCGTGAGCAATAGGCGTAAATGGCACTCGAAAGACAAATTTGAGATCTGAAAAAGCGTACACAGCGGCCTCTGGTGGATTCACAAAAACAAAAACTGCAAAAAAAATGTATCTCCTGGGACGTATTTGGCGCTCTCCAGAAATGTATACAGGGGTACGTATCAACAATGAGCCTGGGTTGAAAGTCTCAAGTCACTAGTATTTTCCCCTAAAAAGGTTTAAAGTTGGGTTATTTTGATATTTGTCTTTAGCATGTCAGTTTGAAAGATCAATTTACATTTCCAAACATTTTTTTATTATTGTTTTTGGAGACGGAGAACAGACAGACAATCCCCATTGTGTAACAAACTGTGCAAAATGTTAAATAAAGCATGAAACAAGGAAAAACGGCCACATACAAGACATATATGACCTACAAAAAGAGATCACAATGGATGTAAAGAGAGAAAAAAACAACAACTTACAAATCTTCAGAACTTAAATAACATTACTAGTCTTTAAAGTCTTTAAAAAAAAAACTGGATCCCACATTTTATCAAATTTTGCATTGTTCCCCGAGGTGGCATTTCTAATTCTTTCCAAATGTAAAGTGGAGGTAAGTCCAAGAAGCCAGTCACTAAAAAAAGAGGCCTCTATTTGGAAACTCCAACAATATTTTTGTCATTAATTGTATTTCTGCTGTGAGATTATATCCAGGCTGTCTGGAATGACAAGAAGAAGCAAAACAAACCGAGAAGAACTTGGCAAATATCTCTAGATGCTTCAGAAAACCCACATGCAAAGTTACTTGAGAAACTCTGGGCAAGAGTAGCAAGTGTTTCAAATGCAAAGTGTGCTCAGATCAAATGCTAAATAAGTTTATTGATTAATAAAATGTATTTATGCATTATTTTTTAAAGCATCTTTATTTCACAGCTTTTTTACACAAGTGCCCAAAACTTTAAACAGTACCGCAGCTTTTTATGGCGATTGTCTGAAGTATCTTGGAGATGTTGCCTAAGATCTTCTGGATTAAGTTTGTCTCAGTTTGTTCTGCTTCTTCATGTCATTCCAGAAAGACTGCAAATAATCTAACAGTTATATGACAAAAATAATGTTTGGGAATGTAAATTAATCCTTGAAACTGACATGCTACAGGAAAATATAGAAATAACCCACTTTAAACCTTTAATTGGGAGGTTAAAATTTTAGAGGCCTAAGACTTTTGCACAGAACTGTAGGTAAATATAGACAGGTTGTTGTTTCATCATCTGGACGGCTTCGGCTGAAAGGATGATTCTGGAAATGAAAGAAACGGCAGAAGGAGAGAGGAGGACGGAGAGTCTTGGACCCTTGATCTTCAGAGAGCAGAAGAGCTCAGGCTACAGCGCTTCAGAACATCCATAAGCAGTGCTGGATCTCCAACAGAAGAGCTCTTCACACACTCATGGTCATGTTGGGAGAATACTGCAACGACACAAAACACAAAACAGAGACTGAGTTTATTTCTGTTGTTGTTGTTTTTTTTTGGCCTATTGGGGATAAGTAAATATTATTGTAAATCATACCATACCAGTAGGTGGCGACAACTCCCTTTTTTAATTAGAAATTCATTAAAAACTTTTGATTAATTTTCAAACTAAGCAACTGGGTGGAGGTTTCTCAATACCAAGAAAGCGAGAACCGTCTTGTCAAGTTACCAAAAAAGTTTCACGCATTTTAACCTAAAATTATTTAAAGAGCCCCTATTTTGCATTATAAAGGTCATGATTTGGTTTTGGGGTCTTCAACAACATTCTGATATGCATGGAAGATCTGAAAACACTTTCATCGTCTTATAATCTGCATTTATTTTTACCTAATTATCCCAGAGACGCCCATATGATTTGTTCAGTGATTCTTTTTTTTTAAATACCCATTTGCGTGATGCAAATATGCAGTGATTGGTCCGACGATTCAGTCTGTTGTGATTGATTGACGCAAAGAAACGCCCAACACGACTTATTAAGATTGTTGAAGCAGCCCAATGCAAGAATGCATTAAAGCAATGCAGTTAAACACCAGCATACTACTGTATTCTTAACAATAACAGTGATTACGAGAACACAAGGATACACGAATGGTTAAGAATGCATTTTCAGAAACAGCCAGTGTCTAAATGAATGGATCTATAGATGCCTTCAACTTAAACCATGGCTGGAGAAAACGGAGCTGCCGACTCCGAAAGTGAACACGTCGAGCTCATGATAGATCACATAGCGTGGTCAATGATATATATATATATATATATATATATATATATATATATATATATATATATATTGCAATAACAACTAAACAATCACAGTATGTACAAATCAAAGAGAGAATATAGTCTGTACAAACCATACAACGATTACTTTTTAAAAACTCTGAAAACTCTAAAGTGTAAAATAAATTAAAATGTACATATAAGAAATTTAAAATATGTTTAATATTTATACTATTTTAAATTAAGAATACACATTAAGTATGTTTTCACGGTGCAATTAATGCAGTTCTTTACTATAAGAATCAATTTTTGATTAGACCTTTTTAACGTGACGAGTTTTAACATGAAGTTTTATACATAAAGAGTAAATAAATGACATACGCTCTCGTTCTGGAAAGGGTTGAGGAAATTTCCGGCCATTTCCCCATCGTCTCGAGGCGTCCCGGGCTGGTTGCTCATGCTCAGGTTACCAGGAGAATTCTGTAGACATGTGACATGTGACAGACAGACATGTGTCATTCATGGGTCGACTTCAGCTAAACTTATCCTACAATGATATTGAAATCCCCTCTTACTTTGGGCATACTGTCCATATCAGCTGAGCCTACACAAATGAGAAAATGCATGTCAGATTGCAGAATGGCAAAAACTTGCTATTTTTGAAGTGCATGATCAATTATAACAAAACAATCACAACATAAAACATTTAACAAATGTTTAAATAAATAATTCGGAAAGGAACACTTCAACTTTTTAAAAACACTCATTTTACAAGTCTTCTAGTGTTATCAGTTGACTTGAACTATTTTTGAATCCATTCCGGCAGGGTCACTTTTAGCTTAGCTTAGCATAATGAATGGAATCGGATTAGACCATTAGCATTTTGTTAAAAAAATCCAAATAGATTTTTGATAATTTTCCTATGTAAAGTTGAAGTCTTCTGTAGTTAAATCATGTTATAAAACTAACAGAAAATGAAAACATTTTCATTTGTCATGGCAGAGTGAAAGCCCCGCCCACTGCCTCTCATTGGCATAGGACGTTAGTTTAGTTTTTTAATCTGCCACTATGCTGACACACAGGCATTTGTAGCCCCGCCCTCTTTTGAAAAGAGCACAATCTCATTTGAATTTAAAGCGACAGTCGCCAAAACTCTATGATTAAGATCAAAGCTTCAGTTTCTGAGGATTAAAGAACATTATTTGTGTGGCATTTTGAGCTGAAACTTCACAAACACACTCTGGGGACATCTGACTTATTTGACATCTTGTAAAAAGGGACATAATAAGTGGCCTTTAATTTTACTGAAATCACAAAAAAGAATATTGAAAAAAAATATGCGCAAGTGTCCACAAGGGGGAGTAAGAACACAAGGCAAATTATGACAAAAATAAAAGCGTGAAAGCTGCAATTATGACTCTTTGATGCTTCAGGAGTTTGTGGAGTGCTTTTACCTAATGATCCGTTCATATGATGCGGCTCCAGTCCTGCCAGACCCCCCAACGGCCCCTCGCCACCCGCACCCAGAGGAAACTAACAAAACACACACACCATCGCCAAATATTACATCTTCTACAGGGCTTCAGATAAACAAAACGAAATAAAGGCCTGTTCACACCAAGCGCGATAACGCGTCATTTACAAAAATCATTAACAGTGAATGATAATGATCTGTTTATTTGTAGATTCTACTTTTGATTGAGCATTATAACCAGCAGGTGTGCACAGCGCATCTGACCAGTGAATCCAGCTCAAGTAATCAATCTAATCAAACAATACTAGTCAATTCTGCAGCATTTACAAGACAAACACACTCAAACTAGCACTGGATTTTGACCTTCCGTGTATAAATTTTTTATCATTATTTCCAGCCTGATCTCTTGAGGAAACGTAAGTATTTTACGTTTTGTCAGTTTAGTGGCTAATTTGTATGAGTTCAGTTGTACAAAAATGTATGATTTTAAAAAGGAGGCGTAGCACCCAACCTTGCCCCTAAACCCAACCATCATTGGGGAATAAGCAAATTGTACTAACTTTTACGAATGAGATTCTACGAGTTCATACAAACTAGCCACTAAACCAAAATGTTATGCATTGTCGTGAGATTGTGTTGTTATTTCCCATGGTAAAACCAACTGTTTCCATGATAGTCATGATCTTTAAATAATCTTTAAAAGAGGACTTATCATCATCAGTGTGTGCTTCTCCACAGTGTCGTCTGCATCTTAAAAAATGAGCTTTAATTTTCACTGGATTCTGATTGGCTGTCTGTGTTTTATCGTTCATCGGCTGGGAAAAATCGTTCAGAAAATGATCGCAATGATATCGTTCCTCTGCATCTTTATCGTTGTAGTTGTCCAGTGAACTATGGTATTCTTAAACACCATGAACAATTTTTACAACTCTATTGTTATTGTTTTCATGCTTGGCGTGAACAGGCCTTAAGTACTGTGGTTGAAAAAGCTTAACGTGCTGCAATTTAAGAAAACGCATGCAATTATAAAAAGCACCAGCAAATTAAGAAAAGATTTTCATTGGTTTGAAAAATTTGCACAACGCAAACAAATAAAGAAAACGTGCTGCATTTTCTCACAACACATGCAAATAGCATGGTACACAATGGAAATGTTTCAGGGGGACCTAAAAATATGATGGACCCGGCTATTTAGATTATGGTTATAGGCTAATATAATACAAAAATCAAAGAAATGGTGTAATCAGGAAGCTAAAATGAACAACCTTTAAAAGATCACCTCTAGTACAACTCCACTGAACAATAGTCATGGCACAATAAACAAATCCCAGCCGGTCTGGCACATTTTTGGGTCCCCCTGAAACATTTCCATTGCGTCCTATTTGCATGTGTCGTGGGAAAATGTAGCACGTATTCCTGATTTGTTTGCATTGTGAGTATTTGCAACATTCTTAATTCGCTGGTGTTTTTTGTAATTGCATGTGTTCCCACAAGCTCTCTCGGCCAGTATAAGCTTTAAACGTCTGAATCTCCTCCTGTTATCATACATTTTGCCGGTTTGCTCCGGGCGGCACTGCGTTGATCATGGTGTACATGTTTTCTCCAGAGTTTGTTGAGTCTGTGGAGACAAATATACATAATAATCAATGATATTTCAGTTTATGCTTCACTCAAATGATTGAAGATTTTAAAGATCAGGGGTCCGTTCTTCGTACCTCGCTTAAATGATCTAAGATGATTTTGCAGATGCTGGATCTTTTAATCTCGATAACTAATCTCTCGCTAATTTGGTTCTTCAAAAAAGATTGCAAATCAGATGAAACTGTCTGGATGAACTGATCTGAGATCGCTGCGTGTGTTGTGAAGGACAGATCTATCGATCCTCGAAATCATGATCAGCAATGCAACGATTGGCTGACAGCACAGCAGCGTAATGACATCATCTGATTAATATTCAACTATCCATGTGACAAAATTACATCAAATTAGCAGTAAATGGTTTGTTAAATATGACACGCAATAACTGTACACATTGTTGTGGTCTGCATGCTTGGCCCTTTGTGTCAAGAGCAATTTATTTAGTTTTACAGTTAGAGCGGATTTTCCTTATTATAGTAGTATTATAGTAGCCGTTTTTTAATCGGTGTAAAGAATAACTGGATGTTTACAAAAGCATTTTGATATTGTTAAAGGTGTCTGCAACTTTTATGAAGCATCAAATCACCGTCATATTAACTGTCAAAACATGTTTATGACTGCATAAATGTATTATTGCTTTTAAAAAATCACATATTGTGCATGTCTATTATACACAAATTGTACTAAAGCGATCTAAAAAGTTCATAATAGTTGCACCACCAGGTGGCAGTCTTTGTACTTTCATTTCGGGGGTGCAGATTGCATTAGTTTATTTATACATTTATAACTTTATTTATTTTATTAATAACTATAACTTTATATATATATATATATATATATATATATATATTAGGGATGGGAAGATTAACCGATATGTATTATGCGCGTTCACGATGCGAGTGCATCGGTTCAGCAGCAGAGGATGAATGAAATTTTGGAAGCAAATCGAGATGCATCGGTTTTTGCGAGATGCATCGATTTTTCCGAGATACAGCTTATATTTTTAATATAGAATGTATTTTTTATTTATTAACAAGTGTTGTCAACCTGTTTTTGGCGCATAATTTAATCGACCTACATAAAGTAAGCCTTAGCAACGGATTTGCGGATGTGCACACACTACAACTCAGTGTATCAGGTGTGCGGATGAAGCTAGTGGAGCGCCCTCAGAAAGCGCGAGAAGCAAAACAAACATTTTATTCCTCACTGAGTTTTAAATCTAAAGTATGGCAAGCAACATTATGGATTTAAGGATGGACGACTTGACAGGACAGATGCAATTTGCAAAATGTGCCGCGCATCTGTAAAATACGCGGGCAGTACGACTAATCTGATATCTCACTTGAAGCGGCGCCACGGAGTTGTTGTGAAAGCATCTTCCAGTGTTTCTGCATCCCCGGCTTTCGCACTGCTTCAACCAGCTCCAAAAGTGGTGAGAAAAGCATTGCAAGTTTTTTTTTTCCATGCGCAACAGTTCTGCTCGCTCTACGCCAATAACGAATGCTATTGCATTGTTCATCTGCAAAGATATTCAACCTAGTGTCACGGAGAACGAAGGTTTTAAACACCTCCTCCTGTTAATTTTTATTTAATTATAATAATAATAATATAAATAATAATAATGATAAAAATAATTGGGTGTCACAGTGGCACAGTGGGTAGTTTGACCACCTCAAAGCAAGAAGATTGCTGGTTTGTTATATTTTTATTAGCCTGTTGTTTACAGTGACAGTGATGTTTCAACGCAGCATAACACTGCTAGTTCACCTTAAGTTTTGAATAATCAGTGGCAAAATATATCTTTGTAAAACTTGTTTTCATAGTTGAAAAGTTAAATCACAATTCTTGTTGTGCAATGCTAATTTTATTTATGTTGAAAGAGTGCAAATATATATATATTTTTTAAATATATATTGCACTTATACATTCTGTTTATCTTGAAAATACTTAAATAATATGTGCTATATGTTCTAAAATGGCCCTCTACTGTAAACTGACACTCTGGCTTTGAGAGAAAAGCCAGTTTGTAAAAAAAGTCTTGGTTTTGCTTGGTTAATAAATAATCAAACTCATTCAATGGCACAGCATCCTCTTTCACATCATCTCATAAACTTGATCTAACTAGTTAGTGCTGAAATATCGCATTGTATCGTGATATGGGTGTGAATCGTATCGTGTTGCATCGCAATATGTCACAAATGTATCGCTAATATATCGGATCGTATTCTTTGTATCGAGATGCGTATCGGATCGGCATTATAGCTTAGATGCCCAACCCTAATATATATATATATATATATATATATATATATATATATATATATATAAAATATTTACTATTTTCCTAAGTGTATGTAACTTCTGTAAGAAAATATCAGAATTCGGTACATTCTTTCTGTATTATCTTTGCTTGAACTGACCCGATCTAATCCTGTTTATATGAATTGAACCTGCTCTCGATCAGGTTTGAGCTAGCAGAACTGTTGCTATGACAACAACTCTTGAATCAGTTTTGAAGAACGAAACGATTCTGGATCGTGTCAAATCGTCAATAACCAAATCCAGCTAACTGAGTAATCCACGTACGAAGAACGGACCCCTGCTCACTGAAGGCATGCTTTTAAATGTATCGCTATATTACTGAACAATAAATTAAATTAATGAACAGCTGAAGTAAAAATTATTAGCCGTCAAATTTTAATTAGTTAAGTGTTGCTAAACAGATTCCAAAAAAATTCAACACATTTTTAAACAATAGTTTTAATTACTAATTTCAAATAGATCATTTCATTTGTCTGTTCATGATGACAGTATGTAATATTTTAGTAGTTAATCTGCAAAAAACTAGTAATCAGCTTAACGTGTAATTTAAAGGCTTAACTAGGTTAATGTATTAATCATAGTTATTAGATAACAATGGTTTGATCGGAAATTGGAAAAAGAAATCTTAAGGAGCCAAATAGTATTGACCTTGGTATAAAAAATGTGAAAACTATCTAGATGATATTAAAACAACTAAATGTTAGATAAAATGAATAGTAAATCTAACAATCCAATATCTAAAATACATCAAATAATACATTAAACAAAAAATAAAATGTATTATTAAACATTACATGAATAAAAGATTACATCCACATGAATACAATTAATGTAATAAATTAAGTATAAAAATTTCTTTAATGTTCATAATCATTCATTCATTCATCTTTTCGGCTTAGTCCCTTTATTAATTTGGGTATCCAGCATATGTTTTACGCAGCAGATGCCCTTCCAGCTGCAACCCATCACTGGGAAAAATCCATACACTCTCATTCACACACAATTTAATCTACCCAATTCACCTGTATTACATGTCTTTGGACTGTGGGGGAAACCGGAGCACCAGGAGGAAACCCACGCCAACACGGGAGAACATGCAAACTCCACACAGAAATGATAACTGACGCAGCCGAGGCTCGAACCAGCGATCATCTTGTTGTGAGGCGATTGTGCTACCCACTGCGCCACCGTGCTGTCATATTCATCATCTTTTTTTTCAGTTATATATATATATATATATAAGTATTTCTATCTGTAATTAAGCTTCATTATGGCTGTTGTACCTGCAGGGCTGGGCATGATGGGTGTCCCTGGCGGCCCTCCTCCTCCCGGCGGACCCTTAAAACAGTGAACACAGAATGATTTTAATGATTTAGATGATATATATATATTAGAGGTGTGAACCTATACTGGTCTCACGGTTCGGTTCGGTTACGATTATCATGCCATCGATTCGGCATGTAAATACCGGCGCTCACCTCCCTCACGACAGAGCGCATAGGAGACAAATGACGTCAGTACATAATAACCGGTTATGATTATTACTGAATCGATACCGAATTGTCCGCGTCTGCATCACGGTGCACCTAAGAAACAATTAATTTTGACACCCCTAATATATATATATATATATATATATATATATATATATATATATATATATATATATATAGGCAAGGCCTCTAGATCAGGGGTTCTCAAACTTTTCAGCTCTCGACCCCCAAAATAACAATGCCAGTGGCTCGCGACCCCCAATATCCTCTGAGGTGGTTATAAATACAGCAACTTTGCATGCAATGATGCACACACACACCAATCGCCAAAGTTTATTCTTCGTAGATTTTTTTATGTATGTTAGGGCTGTAAATGGACCAGAAAACTTAACCTGGTGATCAATCTGCTGCATCTGAAGCTATTGCTGTGTCTTTAATATAATGTAACTATCCAGCGATCGCAATCCAATAGAACTAGTAACTATAAGCTACTATAGTAACTATATATAGTAGTATATAGTAACTATAAACCATTATTTTTTCTTTTCAGTAGGTTATGGATAAAATATGGTAATTCTTATGGTTTAATAAAAATAAATAGATTTTTGGAAATCACCAGGCGACCCCCCCTTCATTGTCCCACGACCCCTCGAGGGGTCCCGACCCCCACTTTGAGAACCACTGCTCTAGATTATGCTTATTTGAGCACAATAAAACCTGATCATGCCTTGATTGTTAATGATTTGACTAGGACAGTAAGGTCTGACTCTGCTCAGACTAAAGTCTCATCACTGAACAGAAATAAAAGTCCTGAAAGTCGTGCTGCAGTGGAGACAGAATGAATATTGTGTCTGACTCCATCATGAGCTTGGAGGACTGCATCCATACATCTCTGACATGACTCAAATCACTGATTAATGAAGTCATCTGGAATGAAGAAGAAAGCGTTCCTGCAGGACTCCCAGAGCTCATCAAGAGTCTTTAGATTCATCATCAATGCCTCCTCCTTCATCTTACCCCAGACATGCTCAATAATGTTCATGCCTGGTAACTGGGCTGGCCAATCCTGGAGCACTTTGACCTTCTTTGCTTTCAGGATCTTTGATGTGGAGGCTGAAGTATGAGGAGCGCTATCCTGCTGGAGAATTGTCCCTCTCCTGTGGTTTGTAATGTAATGAGCAGCACAAATGTCTTGATACCTCAGGCTGTTGATGTTGCAGATCTCTCGCACGCCCCCATACTGAATACAACCCCAAACCATGACTTTTCCTTCACCAAACTTGACTGATTTCTATGAGAATCTTGGTTCCATGTGGGTTCCAGTAGGTCTTCTGCAGTGTTTGCAGATGATTCAGCAGAGAAATCCACCTTCTGACACTTTTCCAAATGATCAACTAAAAGTCCAGTTATTATTTTTTGCTCTTACAACTGAGATCAAGACAAGACTTTGTCAGGTATTGTGTATATATATATATATATAAGACATCATAGTGTATTTGTATGATATGTGCATGTGTGTGTATCTATCTGTGTGTGTGTCTGTCTATATATGTTTGTATGTGAGTGTCTCTATCTGTGTGTGTGTGTGTGTGTGTGTGTGTGTGCGTTTCTGTCTGTCTGTGTTCTGCTGTCCTCAGCCGCTCTTTTCAAATCTGCTCCTCCTGAATCTAATGATCTCTCTCTCTCTCTCTCTCTCTCTCTCTCTCTGCTGAATCAGCTCTTCTTCTGTCCTCTGTCTTCAGTAAAGCTCAGTGTCTCCTGTCAGTTACGGCTTCTGCAAATTACTTTTACTGACTGACTCTGACTGTTTGCCTTACAGTAAAGTCATGAGACTTATTTTTATCCCTTGTGTGCTGTTGGGTCGTCTCATCTACTTTGGGCTGATTTTGAGTATTAATTTAACCTCAACTTCCTCTGTGTTTCAGCAAATTGGATGATTTTGGTGACAAATCTTATTTAGACACATAATTTGGAAAATGAATGCTCTGAAAATGTTCAAAACCTCATAATAATACACTCTGGGCAAATTGACTACCCTTTTAATATACTGGTGGCTGTTTTTGCCCCAATGACTTCCATTATAATCATTTATTGACTGTAAAGCCATAACAGCATATGATCATGTGTTCTTGATTGTTGCTGGTTTTCTCTGTTGTAAGGAGTGTGAGTGTATAAGAGAGACCTGTGCACACTTATCTTGATATGTTTGAGAAAATACAGAAAAGCAGCTCAGCTCTCAGAATATAGTAAACACAGTCAAGTGTATTTCTGCACAGACACTATAATCTGCTGTTTTACTCCACTGAACTCCATATAAAAGTCTCTTCAGCACAGGCCTATCTAAAGGGTTAATGCTGCCAACTGATGATCAAGAGTAAAAACGACACATTTTACCTCTTCCCAACAGAGAAAACCAGCAACAAACAAGACTGCACGATTATAAGCTGTGTGTGTGTGTGTGTGTGTGTGTGTGTGTGTGTATGTACGAAGCTCTTACCACGTAACTGCCAGGAGACGCCGATGAATACGGGATCTGAAAAGTAATGTGGATTCAATCAGACAGAAAACACAGAGCAGGTCAACAAAGCAGATGCAAACATCTCCCACAGCTGTACTGCTGACATTAACACATACACACACACACACACACGCATCACTCACCGAGTTGGAGTTTGGTGGATTGGGCCACGGTCTTCCTCCAGGACCCCTGAAACACAGAGACACACACACACACACATCTTCATTTACTAAACACACTGATTAACATATGCAGTAATCAGAAATGCTCTTTGCTATTAGGAAGATACAAACACCAAGGCTATTACAGTTTCACATTTTTAAATGAGCTTTTATTTATTTATTTATATTTATATATTTAATATTTTTAGATTGGCTGTACATTTCAGTTTAGTTTTAGTTTGTTTTTAATGTTTTTGTTTTGGATGTTTTAGTTTAGCTTTAATTTTGTGAACACACTTCTATTTAGTCTTTGTATGTTTAATTTCATTAATTCATTCTTTTTGCCAACTTATCCAGCAGGTGTTTTACACAGCAGATGACCTTCCAGCTGCAATCCATTACTGGAAAACACCCATACACTCATTCACACACACACTCATACACTACGGCCAATTTAATTCAACCAATTCCGCTATAGCGCATGTGTTTGGAAACCCACGCCAACACAGGGAGAACATGCAAACTCCACACAGAAATGAATGAACCTATTGTAATTTAACTTGACCTGACCTGACCTGACCTGACCTGACCTGACCTGAACTGACCTGACCTGACCTGACCTGAACTGACCTGACTTGACTTGACTTAATCTAACCTGACTTGACTTAATATAACTTATACTAACCTAACCACATAATTTGACTTGACTTGACTTAACTTGACCTGACTTAACTTAACTTGACCTGACTTAACCAAACCAAACCTAACCTAACTTAACTTAACTTGATCTGAATTAACCTAACCTAACCTAACCTAACTTAACTTAACCTAACTTAACTTGACCTGAATTAACCTAACCTAACCTAACCTAACCTAACTTAACCTACCCTACCCTACCCTGCCCTACCCTAACTTAACTTAACTTAACTTAACTTAACTTAACTTAACTTAACTTAACTTAACTTAACTTAACTTGACCTGAATTAACCTAACCTAACTTAACCTAACCTAACCTAACCTAACCTAACTTAACTTAACTTAACTTAACTTAACTTAACTTAACCTGAATTAACCTAACCTAACCTAACCTAACTTAATTTAACTTAACCTTACCTAACCTAAACTAACCTAAGCTAACCTACCTTAACTTAACTGTAAGAGTTAATTGTGTTAGGGTAACTGTAGTACGTACATGTTCATTGGGGGTCCACCGAGGGCGTTGAGTGGGGGCCTCATGCCTCCTCCATACTATAATAACAATAAAACAAATTAACTGCAGTGTCTTTAGACGAGTGACTCAAACCTACAGCTGTAATGTCATACCTGCGGCCCCAGAGGAACCATCCCTCTGGGCGGAGTCATTCTCTGCATAGCCCCGGCCATATTTGGATGACCTACCAATAAACAAATCAGAGCGAGAATAAATTAGCAAGAGGAATAAAACACTTAAGGATATTATAAAAAGTTGAATCTTTAAATAAGTTACAATTGTTTATACAGTGGGTGCGGAAAGTATTCAGATCCCCTTAAAATGTTCCACTCTTTGTTATATTGCAGCTATTTGCTAAAATCATTTAAGTTCATTTTTTCCCTCATTAATGTCAACACAGCATCGTTGACATGTTTGTAGATTTATTAAAGAAGAAACACTGAAATATCACATGGTCCTAAATGTTCAGAGCGTTTGCTGTGACACTCATTTTTAACTCAGGTGCTTTTTCTCCATTTCTTCTGATCATCCTTAAGATGGGTCTGCTTCATTTAAGTCCAGCTGTGTTTGATTACACTGACTAAACTTGATTAGGAAAGACACACACCTGTCTATATAAGAGCTTACAGCTCACAATGCATGTCAGAGTAGATGAGAATCATGAGGTCAAAGGAACTGCCTGAAGAGCTCAGAGACAGAATTGTGGCAAGGCACAGATCTGACCAAGCTTACAGAAACATTTCTGCTGTAGTTCAGGTTGCTAAGAGCACAGTGGCCTCCATAATCCTGAAATGGAAGACGTTTGGGATGATCAGAACCCTTCTTAAGCCTGGTTTATACTCGACATGTTTGCTAGTGCGAATGTGGTGTCATCGTGGTGTTTGCATAGGTTCGCTTTGGGTGTGTGCAACATGATTTTGTCTGGCAGAGCGCACAAAATACGTTTCAGTTGAGTTGAATATGAATCACTTTAAAGAGATTTTGTCTGAAACAGGTTCGACTGTACAGACATCTTCATGATTCATCCATGTCTGATCATAGGGATAATGATATGACCGATAATTCTTGGCTAGAAATTGCAACAGCCGTGGGAAAAAAAGTAAAGTTTTTTGCTGTGTTTTTTTGTCAGTAAGGGCTGCTGTCAGTGTGGACATTAATGAAGAAAAAAATGAACTTAACCACTTAAACTCTGCTGCTATTTGGGGATTTCCGCCTGGATTTTGCCTAACCAAATTTAAAAGCTTCCCAAATCCACATAAAGAGGTGTAAATGCAAAAATTTGGTATCATTTTAAAGAAAACATATCCATATCCTGAGCTGCTGCTGCGCTGATGGTCGTGGGGAGTGGAGAACATGAGTCTGATTCCAGCGACGCTCCAGGGACAGACGAGTCTTCGCTGAGGCCATCTTACAGCCTCCACCGCGGTGACTGAAGCTCTGCACAAGACTTTTGGCCAGCGGAGAAAATAAAATGGTCGTGCCCAACTGAGTCTGGTTCTCTCAAGGTTTTTTTTCTTCACTCTCATCAGTTGAAGTTTTTTTTCCCTCTCCGCTGTCGCCACTGCCTCGCATGGTTCAGGATTGGTAGAGCTACGCATCGATGAATTTGCTCTTCAGTGTTTGAACTCTCAGTAATGATTAAATCACACTGAACTGAGCTAAACTGAACTGAACTGAACTTAAACACTAAAACCTGAACCACACTGTTCCAGTTACTGTGACCATTTATGTGAAGCTGCTTTGACACAATCTACATTGTAAAAGCGCTATACAAATAAAGCTGAATTGAATTGAATTGAAAAAAAACCTTTGAATTTTCAAAAAAAAAACTAATGAAAGTGTTTAAAAGAACTGTATATGTTGTCTGTGTTATAATAAACACCTAAAAAAAGAGGTGCTTTTTGTATTTTTTTTATAAACTCGTATTTGAAAGTGTAGCTTTTAGGTTCTGTGTGGTCTAGCGTGCTGTAATTAATGTTGGTGGTTCCTGCACATGTCTGTAATCATAGGAAAACAGAAAAATGTCTCCACCATAATCTGTGCAAAAGTTATTGTATTCCAACTGATGAGAGGTGCTGTACAAGCCACAGGGACCGACCATTGTTTTCATAATTCACTATTCTTTTGTTTGATCAAACATAATTCACTGTGTTTGGACCACATCAGACATATAAAAGGATTACTTATGCACATCACCTCAAAAAACAGAGGAGAATGGCCCTGAAGCACACAGCATAAGGTAAGAGATGACAGCTCTCTGTGCTATCTGGGGCTGCTTAGTGATCATAAATGTATTGTTTTCACTTCTGCGCCATGAAAACACCACAATTCATTCAACAACTGTTTGGCATATGAATATAATTCAATAAAAGAATGCTAGAACTGTATGAGCACCGGCAAGAGCTTTCATTTGAGCTATAACTTGTACATGTGTCATATAAAAAAATATAAAAATGAACCAATGTAAAATACCTAGCTTGGGTATTCAAAATACTGTGTATTTAAGTGTAAATAACTTTTATACAGTAGAATAAAAACCAAAGTGATGCATATGTGCATAAAATATAGATTCTACACTTTCAAACGACACCACTTACGGGGGTCTGGTGCAATGCTAGCACTTTAAATCTGAAAGCGAAAGTCTATGACGTCACGGACCCAGTACCAGGTCCGCAGAGTTTAAGTGGTTAAATGATTTTAGCAAATGGCTGCAATATAACAAAGAGTGAAACATTTAGGGGGGCTGAATACTTTCCGCACCCACTGTATAAATATAATTCTGCTGCTAATTCCTAAGTCATTTGTTTTCACACAGACCCTGCTGTCGTGACGGGTCGATCAGCGGCTGGTTTCCCGGAACTCCAGCTAACGCCTGAAGCACAGAGAAACAAAGCAGATCAGAAACAGCTCACTCCTGACACACTGAAACAGAGCAGCGTTCAACATCAAGCCGAGACACTGTTAATATCACTGCAGGGAAATATTAGTCTCAGCTGGAAAGTGTTGCTATGAATCACAGCATGATGATTAAACTCAAACATCTCCATCACCAGCGCGGATTTCAATATAGAAGATTCCGGTTCTACTAGGGCTGCGTGATACTGGAAAAATTAACATTGCACTATTGAGTTTTTGAGTGATATACCATACATATATCTCATTAAATGCACTGAATATCTCTGTTTGTGAAAAATGTACTATTTCAGAATGTTTGGGGTGGTTTTATAGTGGATCACATCTGCATAAATTATTTAACTGGAATTTATTTATAAACTAATTTGGAGAGGATCACGTGTTTAGGATTGCTTGCAGCTGTCCTGCATTATCCAATTGATTATTCAGCAATCAGACAATTCCTAAGCCACTATAAGAGCCCTAGGTTAATACAACAGGCATCTTTGTTTTGAAGAATCCCCCCATCCACCCCTACTCCTCCTCCTTTTCTAGATGGGTGGCACGGTGGCCCAGTGGTTAGCACTGTTGCCTCACAGCAAGAACGTCTTTGGTTCTGGTCAATAACAAAGCCAGCTGACGTTTCTGTGTGGAGTTTACACGATCTCACCGTGCTCGCGTGGGTTTCCCCAGGGTTCCCCGGATTCCTCCCACAGTCCAAAAACATGCAACTTATGCCGAGTTCAGACTGCAGGATTTTCAAAGTAGTCGTGTCACAGATGTTTTCACACTGCATGACTATCTGGGCTAGCGTTTCGTCGTTGCTTTGTTTACACTGCAAGATGGATCGGGGACAGGGGCTTTCACATTGCATGACTTTACTATAGGAAGAATCGCCGACAACTTCGTCCAAACTACGTCTCACAGCCAAAAACACGTCGTATATCTTTTGTTATTAACTACATAATGAGAAAGAAGCCTTTAATGGGGTAGAACATGTACATGTTTGCTCACCTGGGTTTAAAGGGAATTAGCCATTTCTTCTCAACTTAAGTTGATAATAAACTAATTTCTTTCTGTATGAAACGTCAAACAGACACGGTTGCTCCTGAGTCCTGTCAAACCTCCACTAGTTTTTCCTCCATTTCGTGGGTCCAAATAAACCGAAAAAGTTTTTAACTTCTCCCCCAGCCTCCTGCTGGCCTGCAGCAGGTATACACACACACGCACACACAAGTGAAAGATGCTCTCTCATTGGCTGTAGGCGATCGCTGATGTTATTTTCAGTCAAAACTCAATTCACACGGCATGATTTGAATCGCCGACAGCTCCAGACATTTAGCACACCAAATATCTCGCAGGCATCGGCGACTCATCGGCGATTCTCTCAGATCGTGTCTTTAATAGTTCATACTGTGTGATTGTCACTCATGTGCATGAGCAGCGATTTGCCTGTGATTTCAGGCATTTGTCGGCGATTTCTCAAAACCTGTCGGCGAGCCAAAATCGGGGCTAAAATCACGCAGTCTGAACTAGGCATTAAGTTAATTGACTAATCCAAATCAGCACCATAGACATGCTCCTAGTAAGTAGTTATCTCATAAGAGCGATCACTATCTGTTCATTACTCTGCTTTAAGCATCTTCACTGTAAGAAATAAACTTCAGCTCCAGCAGTCCTTCAGTCAAGAGCAGTGAGGGATTTTCTCCTTTCGTTGTTTGATTAATGATGAAAACTGCAGCAAAACTATTGCACTGTCACTTTAATGGTTTCTCTTTCACGTGTCCTTTGATCCTCAACTCGTTTGTTTATTACACAAATGAGGGTTACTATGAATAATCACTAAACAACGTGTTCTGACACCTATTTGACCATTAAAGCGCTCACGTTAATGACTTTAGATGTGTGCGCTCTGCTCATCTCAGTGTGCGAATGAGACCGAATGCTGACCGCATGCTTCTGTGTGTGCACGCCGCAGACACACAGAAGCATGCAGTCTTACGCGCTGCTAAGTTACATTACAACACATGCTTTTAGTCATTTTCACGTGGAACTGAGCTTTGCAGAGCAACAAATGTGTACACCTGGAAAGGGGGCGGTAAATGATGGAATAATCGTTTATCTCGATTAATGGTTTTTCATAATCGTTAGAAGCCAAAATCGAAATTGAAATCAGATTTTCTATTAATTGCACAGCCCTACTGGTTATATATAAAAGTGGGCTCCCCAAAGGCCACGGTACAGCTCCAACATTGTGTGTGTCTAAGTGTTTTCCATCACCCAATGTCTTTTGTATTTTTAGGGGCCGAGCACTGAAACGGTGTGTAGTCCCTATTGGAATTGCTCAATTTCTTATTAATATTCTTCCGCGGAATGAATCGCGGTTTTGAGGGTCTAATCATGCCCAAAAACTCACAAAACTTTGCATATGCCCCAGAAGTGGCGAAAAATTTACGTTTGTTATGCATTTCAGAAGTGGGTGTGGCAAAATGACTCGACTGCGCCACCTATGTACTTTTGACGGACTGGCCACCGAGCTACGAATCACGCGCACGCACAAAAATTGGCACACACCTCAAACACGCCAAAACCTACAAAAAAAAGTCTACTGGTGTAAAGTCTCAAACCCGACAGGAAATCTGTTTTTTTAACTTCCTGCGGCGAAAAAGTATAGTTTTTGCCATTTCCAGGCGTTGTATTTTAACGAACTCCTCTTAGGGATTTTATCCGATCAACACCAAAATTGGGTTTGTCATCTAAAGGCCTTAGCCATGTTAAAATGCAAAGATCTAAAGTTTTCGTCGAAGGGCGTGTCCACGGCGGCCTCGCAAACTTTGACCATTCGCCACGAAACAGGAAGCTGTTTTAACTCAGGCATGCATAATCCGATTTGCCTCAAAATTCACACGTTTGATAAGAGTCCTGACCTGAACACGTTTACTTGCCTATATCCAGATACAGTTATAGCGCCACCAGCTGGCTACAGGAAATTACTTATAACTCACAATAAAACAATGTCCGTGAATCTGTGATTTTCTCAGGTTTTTTATAAATCTTGGCTTAAAATAATACTGTTTGCTCTTCTCTGTCTTCCTGAGGCCACCGGGCGACGATGAGCCCGTGTGGGAGGTCCCTTTCATCGCTGCTTGCAGCTTTAATGAATAGATGTGTTTCCTTATGCAGTGGTCACATTAGAGTTTGAGCTTGCCAAATTCTGTCACACGTCACTGCGAAAAGCGGCAACAATAAACAAGATGATCAGACATAAAAAAAATTAGTGATTGGTCCATATTTTACATTTCTGTCCAGAGAGGTCATGTTTTGATCTTCGTTTGGTTTCACGCGATCACGTGATGCTATTTCGCAGGTCAGAGTTGTCTGTCGCATGAGCTTGCATTTCTGGTCAGCCACTGTCGCATCTGCATGAATGGGGCAAAAAGTGCAGTGTGACTGTGTCTTTATTAGTACATTCATTCATTCATTCATATTATTGTCGGTTTAGTCCCTTTAATAATCCGGGGTTGCCACAGCGGAATGAACCGCCAACTTATCCAGCATGTTTTTTACGCAGCGGATGCCCTTCCAGCCGCAACCCATCCCTGGGAAATGTATTAGTACATATGAAATTAAATTAAAAGTGTACTCACCTGGTTTGGTATTCTGAGAGCAGGTCTGGGGCCACCGGGATAACGAGACGACATAAAAGGCTACAGAGAAGAAGAGATTTATTAATTATACACTCAATATTATACAATAGCTGAACAATATGTTTTAGTAAACAGTAGTAAATACAGTAAATAACACTGTAAAGCAGAGCAACACTCCTCTGTACTGTCTCACTGAAATCTCATGTTTTTAAAGATGGAGAAGCAGCTTTTCTTCAGCTCTGAGGGCATTTACTTAAAGCTGAGGCGAATCAACACAACTGAGAAAGTCTCCGGAGAACAGAAAACAATTATTTCCAAGCATCCAAGCGAACCAGGCCATTTCCACCTCCACATCTGAGGTACGATGAAGAAAAAATAAACCCTTGATGACTAAACTAAACGCTGTCTAAGATACAAGTAGACTAATTATTTAGAGTTGAAGTCAGAATTATTCACCCTCCTGTATATTTGTCCCCCAAATTCTGTATAATGGAAATAAATTTTTTTAACACATTTCTAATCATAATAGTTTTAATAACTCATTTCTAATAACTGATTTATTTTATCTTTGCCATGATGACAGCACATAATATTAGACTAAATATTCTTCAGGATACTAGTATTCAGCTTAAAGTGACATTTAA